TCTCTTCTCCCCTCTCCAGCACTTTTGAGAATTCTCAAAAGTGATTTCAGTCTCCCCTCTGCAGCACCAGTTTCAACGTCAGTTTTGTATCAACCCAGCCATCCACGCCCCTCTCCTTGGCCACCCCATCCCCTTTCCCTCCACCTCCTCCACCTCCACCTTCTCTTCCACCTCCTCCGACTCCTCCCACACTGACTTCTCCTCCCCAACGGCATCACCGCCGGTCCCTTGTCTTCCGAGCGAGCTTCAACCATCGGAGCAGCAGCCAGCAGGCGCGTCCTTTGCATCGCCTGTCTGATCGACTCACTTATACTCTCTGTGCCCTGCCCTGCTTCCTTCCACCCTCTCTCTCCCCCCTATCAGCACCGGTTTTCAACGCCAGTGGTGTTCAGATAAAACCCGCCCTCCACGCCCCCCTTCTAGCCCACCCTCTCACCTTCGCTCCCTCCCCTCCCTCCTCTCCTCCTCCTCCTCCTCCTCCTCCTCCTCCTCCTCCTCCTCCTCCTCCTCCTCCTCCTCCTCCTCCTCCTCCTCCTCCTCCTCCTCCTCCCACACTAGCTTCTCCCTCCCCCACCGCATCACCTCCGGTCCCTTGTCTTCCGAGCGTGCATCAACCATCGGAGCAGCAGCAGGCGCGTCCTTTGCTGTCGTGGCGTCCTCTCAGCGGTTGCTGTCATGGGGGTATGGTGGGCGGAAAAGAAGGCTAGCAGTAACAGCAGGAGCAGGAGGAGCGGCGGCAGCAGCGCACGCAAGCTCTGTGTTACTTGGACGAATAGGGGGAGCAGCAGAGGAGCCGAGTGAGGTGGTGGGAGAGGAGGAAGGGGGGGAGGGGGGAGTGCGGATGGGTGGGGTGGTGCAGGTGGTGGGTGGTGCGTCGTTTGTACTTGCGAGAACCGCCAGTGGACAGGTCTTTTCGTGGTGAGTTGAGCTGCTGTCACCTGTGTGCTTTTGCCTAGCCTAGCATGTAATGTTGGCTACTGTCTCACATTGAGGTGGTGGGGGGGTCCTGATTGCTCTCCTTCCCCTCCCATCCCGCACTTCTCTCCAGGGGTCACAACAACCATCACCAACTCGGCCGCCTGACATGTTTTGCGCTGCTTATTACTCTCCTTTCCTGCACCTTTCTTTCCGTTGTCCAGGGGCCACAACAATTATCACCCCTGTTCCCCTCCCCTTCCCTCACCCCTCCCTCCTTTTCCTTATCAGGGGTCACAACAACTATAACCAGCTCGGCCGCTCGACGCCAAACGCCGCCGACCCGCTTCCCGGCCTCGTGGACGGCCTGGCTTGTCTGCACGTGGACACTGTAGTAGCAGGGTCGCACCACGGGCTTGCCTTTGGGCGGGCGGAGCGCGGCAAGGAGTTGGAAGTGGTTGAGATGGAACAGGTGGTGAAGGAAGAGTGGGAGCGGGTGCATTCAAATGGTGGGGAGGACAAAACAGGAAGAGGAGAAACAGCCGGAACAGGAGGAACAGAAACAGGAGGAGGAGCTTGGGGAGGTTGGGGAGGGAGAGGAAGAGGAGGAGGAAAAGGAGTAGAAGGAGGGGGGTCCGTGTTTCCGGTGATGTACAACGAAAACCATAGGGGCGACATCATGCAGGTGGCAGGGGAGTGGTTTTCCCAGCTGCCCCCTTCAGGGTTCGACCCTTCATTTCGCAACCCCTGCTGGAAGGACGGCTCTGGGTTTCACTGCCTGCCCTACTTTCTGGTCATTGGGGCTATGAGGTATGAACACAGAAAGAACACTCACATCATATGCCTTAGAGCACACCCGCTGCCTCTGTTCGCCCAGCTTCCCGCGTCAGGGTTCAACCCATCATTTCGCAACTCCTGCTGGAGGGACGGGTCAGGGTTTCACTGCCTGCCCTACTTCCTGGTTATCGGGGCTAATGAGGTAGGAGGAGCACTCACACCACCGTGGCTTGCCGCACACCCTATGTGCGTTACCCCGGCTGCCAGCAACGGGGTTTGATCCCGCTTTCTGCAAACAATCTCTGCTGGAAGGAGGGGTCAGCACTGCATTGCTGGTTATTGGCTTTACTTCCAACGCATCAATAACCAGCAGTGCAATGCTGAACCTCCCTGGTTATTAATGCTCTCAGGTAGACGCACTATCTCTCAGGTGGACGCACTATCTCTCAGGTGGACGCACTATCTCTCAGGTGGACGCACTATCTCTCAGGTGGACGCACTATCTCTCAGGTGGACGCACTATCTCTCAGGTGGACGCACTATCTCTCAGGTGGACGCACTATCTCTCAGGTGGACGCACTATCTCTCAGGTGGACGCACTATCTCTCAGGTGGACGCACTATCTCTCAGGTGGACGCACTATCTCTCAGTTGGACGCACTATCTCCCCCCTCCTCTCTCAAACTCCTCTTGACAATCCCTTTTGCACCTCTTCCCCGCCCCCCCTTTCGCTACCAGGTAATGGCACTCAGGACTTCTTCCATCGGTTGACCATGGCCCAACCCACTGCTCTGCATCTTACGTAACTGTATAATCACCGTGCCGTTCTTTTCACATCTCTCCCCAACCTCCGTTTTTTTGCTACCAGGAGTGGCACTCAGGACTTCTTCCATCGGTTGACCATGGCCCATCCGACTGCTCTTCAGCCTGCCTCTATGCTCAACCTTGAATGGTCAGTCTTCCCTTTCTGAATCTCAATGCGCTCATGCGTCTGCCTCTGCCTCATTAAAGCAGCCACTCATCCCACTACGTTTTCTGTGTGTGCATGTGTATGTATGCAACGTGTGCTTCACCCCTGTCTACTCTGACCAGGTGGGACATGAGGGTATGGCCGAACGCTCCGCCTCACGTCTCCTTGCACCTTTCTCTTCTCTGTGTCCTGCCCCATACATTTATGCACGTGTGCGTGTGTGTGCCTGTGCCCTAACCAGGTGGGACATGAGGGAGTATGACCCCTTAGACTGGTACACGGGCAAATTCCAACCAGCACCAGCCCACATAGCCACCCACCCGACCGCCATCGCAGGGGAGGTGACCCCCGTCTCTGCCCCACGTTTCCTTGCGTTCTTTTTTTCTCTCTGTCCTGCCCCACGCTTGTGCTCTCACCAGGTGGGACATGAGGGAGTACGACCCTCTAGACTGGTACACGGGCAAATTCCAAGACGCAGCCACCCACATAGCCACCCACCCAACCGCCATTGCAGGGGAGGTGACCCCCTCGCTGCTTACCCACTCAGGGATTCTGGCTCGAGGGCCGCACGCACGCCAATTCCTGCTTCCAGAGCTAATCTTCTCGATGCTCCCGCATGCGCGGTTTATCGTGCTGCTCCGCAACCCCATCCACCGGTCAGTCCATCCCTGTAGAAGCTGCACTAGTCAGTCAAACTTTCCACCTCTTTCCGCCCAAAGCTCATCTTCTCACTGCTCCCGCATGCGCGGTTTATCGTGCTGCTCCGCAACCCCATCCACCGGTCAGTCCATCCCTACACAAGCTGCACTAGTCAGTCAAACTTTCCACCTCTTTCCGCCCAAAGCTCATCTTCTCGATGCTCCCGCATGCGCGGTTTATCGTGCTGCTCCGCAACCCCATCCACCGGTCAGTCCATCCCTGTAGAAGCTGCACTAGTCAGTCAAACTTTCCACCTCTTTCCGCCCAAAGCTCATCTTCTCGATGCTCCCGCATGCGCGGTTTATCGTGCTGCTCCGCAACCCCATCCACCAGTCAGTCCATCCCTGTAGAAGCTGCACTAGTCAGTCAAACTTTCCACCTCTTTCCGCCCAAAGCTCATCTTCTCGCTGCTCCCGCATGCGCGGTTTATCGTGCTGCTCCGCAACCCCATCCACCGGTCAGTCCATCCCTACACAAGCTGCACTAGTCAGTCAAACTTTCCACCTCTTTCCGCCCAAAGCTCATCTTCTCGATGCTCCCGCATGCGCGGTTTATCGTGCTGCTCCGCAACCCCATCCACCGGTCAGTCCATCCCTACACAAGCTGCACTAGTCAGTCAAACTTTCCACCTCTTTCCGCCCAAAGCTCATCTTCTCGCTGCTCCCGCATGCGCGGTTTATCGTGCTGCTCCGCAACCCCATCCACCGGTCAGTCCGTCCCCTTCTGAAAAAAATCGAATGTAGGCCATTAAATCAATGAAGGTAGAAGAAGGGTGCATGCATAGTCCTGCTATGTCATGATCAGCCAGGCATGCATATTCCTGCTATGTCATGACCAGCCAGGCATGCATATTCCTGCTATGTCATGACCAGCCAGGCATGCATATTCCTGCTATGTCATGACCAGCCAGGCATGCATATTCCTGCTATGTCATGACCAGCCAGGCATGCATATTCCTGCTATGTTATGACCAGTTGCACTTGTTTCCATATGATGCCTAAAATGAAAACAAAGACAATTGAGACAAGCACACGGGCAGTGTATGACGATAGGACAGAGGAAAACAGAAACTCCATGCTTTTGTTTCCCCCCCCCCCCCTCCCTTTGTCTTGTGCAATCCCTACCAGTTGGTTCTCGTCTTTCCTGTCTGCGAAGCAGCAAGACGATTCCCACATCACCTTTGATGGCAGCGACAGCAGCAGCATTGCAGCGAACACTTTCAAGTCGACTCAAACACTTTTTCCTCTTCTTTCCTCTCCCCCCCTCCCCCCTCCGATTTTTTGTGCAATCCCTGCCAGTTGGTTCTCTTCTTTCCTGTCTGCGAAGCAGCAAGACGATTCACACATCACCTTCGACGGCAGCGACAGCAGCAGCAGTGCAGCGGACGCTTTTTCGCGGCACGTAGATGCGGTGTTACCCGCAATTAAAGGGTGTATGGTGGATCATTCCCCTGTCTACTGCTCCCGCCTGCTCTTCCACTCCTTCCCCCACGTGTGCCGCAGCATGTATGCCTACTTCCTATCGGTAAGCTGACTCGACATGCCTCTTTATTTCCACCGCTCTCTACTCTACCCCGCTCCTTCTCCCATGTGTGCCGCAGCATGTATGCTTATTTCCTACCTGTAAGTTGACGCGCCTCTTTATTCCTGCAGCTCTACACCTCATTCCTTCCCCCATGTTTGTTGCAGCATGTAAGGTATGCTGACTTTATCTCCTGACTCCTGAGACCCCCTTTCCTCTGTTGTCACTCCCTATCTCCCTCTCCTGCTTTGACTTTGGCAGGACTGGCTGGAAGTCTATCCTCGGAAAAACTTCCTCTTCATAAAGTTTGAGGATTATATATCAGATCCAAAGCTACACCTCGTTCAAGCCATGAAGTTCCTTCAAGTACCTTCAGAAGAAATCGATAAAATCTCAGATGACACGTGGAGAGATGTTACAGGTCAAGCAGTCGTGGGTGCACGGGAGCAAGAGCAAGGGCAGGGACAGGACATGCACCCTAAGACTAGAGAAGTGTTACAGGATTTTTTTCTTCCTATCAATACAGACCTAGCCAGGTTGTTGCGGGATGGCAGTTTCTTGTGGAAATGAAAGTAATGTCTGTTATACCGGCAATATTGCTTTGCAGAAAAGTGACACTTGCTCATGAATGAAAGAAAGTAAACATCTTACCTATTACCACTAATGGAAAAGGATTAACAGCGTGACTGCTACTGGTATGGTTCTAAGTAGTAACTTAGTAAGGAGGAAGCATCCAGTCCAACAGCGTCCAGTCCACAGCAGTGTGAGGAAGCATATGAGGGCTTGAAAGACCCAGCAGCAGCACTAACAAGAGCACGAGCTGTAAGGCATGAATTCACACAAATCATGCTTTCCTTCTCCTACAACCATTCTGCTGGTGCTGCTGCTGCTCCTGCTGTTCCAGCTCCTGCTATTCCGGCTCCTGCTGCTGTTCCTGCTGCCTCATATTGGGATAGTCAGGGTGCTACGGTACCGTAATAGAAACTAGCGGGTTTTGCCCGAATGATCGGACTCAGGATTCGTGGGAGACGGGAGTTGGTGCAGTTGCGGCAGTGAAATCCCTGTTGTAGACGGATTCGTTAACATATCCACCTGCTTCTCCCCGCGTCTGAGAAGGTACTCGATACGCCCGATCTCCGTCCGTCCGACAGAATTCGCTGTTCTTCTAAATTCAGCCGTCAGGTATGCCCGCAAAGCCGCGGATTCCACGGGTGGTTTCGATCTGGCTACGCGTAGCAGACGGCGGTAGAGAGAGAAGATCTCACGTTGGATACCCGAAACCCGCATCGGAACGTAAATTGGTCTATTTTAATCGGTCTGATTGTACCACGCTTGCAATATCCGCGTCGGACCGCGAGTCTCTAAAACTGGAAAGGAAGGCCTAACTCAATCTACTACCACCAGCGATGACTCTGAAAGCTAGTCCCGAGCAACAAAACACACAAACCCACAAAACGTACTCGTTACAAGCTCTTATCGAAAGGGCGAAAAGATCACCCATCATCTGTAACCAGCTGTCCACCCACAAATACCATCTGTGGATGCAAAAGCTGAACCAACATTGCAACATTGGGCTGGCATTTCTAAATGTGTGATCTTAAGAATATTACCGTATTGTAACGTACAGAATCTCACTGCAACACAGATTACCATGTGAAAAAATCGTCAACACCATCCACCTCCAGACAATGAGCCGAAATCTGAACAGCCCGCCACACGAGTCTGTTAGAAATCTATCCAGTTCTGGAAAACGAATGGTTGAAAACGATAATGAGTGTTGAAGTAGGATACCGTGGGTTACAGAGCGGTTTCGGTTGAAAGAAAGCCCATCACCCCATCTCCCCCCTCACCTGACAACCATCTTCCGCTTTTCATGCTCCTTATCGACTACGGATATGCATCAATTACTCAGCACAGGACGGCAGTTGATGGCTGGATCGGCATTACCCACTGAGCAACTGCCGCATTCTCCGGCTCCCAGATCCTATTAAGGCCGAACTGAATAGTTTCCAGTTTAAGTTCAAATCAAGACACATCCATATTTATAGCTTCTTGTTGTTTTTCGTTGTCAGTAGCGAAACCCTGATATCGCAGCGACCGCCATGTTCTGGTCAACGCGCCACGACTATCAGCCTGTCGCGACCACCACCGAAGATGGGACCGCTTCGTCCGCATCCTACGCCGGAGAATCCGGAAGCCCGTCGCGACCCTCTCCCGGGACCGTGTCGCCATCAGCGTCATCGCCGCCGCCTAAGGCGCAGCAGTGGGTGGTGGTGCTCATCGCCGTAGTCGGCGGGCTCGCACTGGCGATGACTCTAGCCGCTGACGTCATGCGGGTGAAGGTGAGACGCTTAGGGATGAGCCAAGAGTTATTGCACGCTAGGAACGTTCAACATGCAGCCAAGAGTGATTGCAGCCGTTCTTTACCAATCTTTACCGATCGCGGCCGTTCACAACCGTTCGTTACCGTTCGTTCCCTTTCCCATTCGCTCGTATGATTCGCGAGGCCCTCAATCGTCAAGGCAAGCAGTCTTTCTCCCGCTCCTCTTGACTCGGCACAGAGGGGCGGTTGCAATGCTGCGGTTTCCTTTGAGAATTCTTAACACTTCTAGAAGCAACCTCGATATTGTTATGGTTTTTTGAGGTCCTTGATTTGTTAAGGCTTGCAAAGTGTCCTTCCCCGCTCCTTCCGGCTCGGCACAATGGGCGAGTTGCAAATTCACAGTGCCCCGCCTTGGGTGGTTTTACGTCCTCCTCCGTTCCTTTCCCCCTGTGTGATAAGTCGACTTTTGAGTCGACTCAAAAGTCGACCTAAAAAATCGACTCAAAAATCGACTGATCACACACGCCTTGGGTGTTACGTCCTTCTCCGTTCCTTTCCCCCTCGCCCCTCCCCCCGCCAGTAGTCATCCACTCACATGCTGGACGCGCAGAACGCGCTGAATCTACCCCAGCAGCCCTCACGTATCCCCTCTATCTCCCCCACTCCGCCCCTCCTTCCCCCCATCCCACCCCCACCTCCCCCTCCCGTCCCCAGCAGTCATCCACTCACATGCTCGACGCGCAGAACGCCCTTCACTGCATCTATCCCAGCAGCCCTGATGTATCCCCTCTATGCCCTTCCCTCCGCGCCTCTTCCCCCCAACATTCCCCTCCCCCTCCCCCCGCCAGCAGTCATCCACTCACATGCTGGACGCGCAGAACGCGCTGCACTGCAGCAGCTCTCATGCAACCCCTCTATTCCCCTCCCTCCGCGCCTCTTCCCCCCGTCATCCCCCTCCCTTCATACCCCCTTCCCCCGCCAGCAGTCTTCCACTCACATGCTGGTCGCGCAGAACGCCCTGCACTGCATCTACCCCAGCAGCCCTCATGTATCCCCTCTATCCCCCCTTTCTGCCTCTCTTTTCCCCCATCCCTTCCTCTCCCCCTCCCCCTCCCCCTCCCTTTCCCCCCACCAGCAGTCCGCCACTCACATGCTCGACGCACAGAACGCCCTTCACTGCGTCTACCCCAGCAGCCCCTCAGGGGGCTACGCTGCGGCAGCAGCGCTGCTGCTGGTGGTGGCTCAGGGGTTCACTCTCCTGCACGGAGGAACGCACTGGTGCCATGCCTCCCGCCTCGATACACGGCGGAACAGGAACCTTCTTCTTATTGTGCTGCTCACGAATCTGTGAGTGTGTTCTGTATGAGATGGGTTTTGAGTCAAACAATAAGTGTGTCCCTCTCTTGCATGGGGGCACACACTGGTGTCAGGCTTCTGGCCTCGACACACGGCGCAATCGCAACCTTCTGCTCGTGGTTCTGCTCACCAACCTGTAAGTGTGCCTTAAAGAGGACTGCGGAGGGGGCCTATGCTGCAGCGGAGCTGCTGGTGGTGGTGGCTCAGGGGTTCACTCTCCTGCACGGAGGCACACACTGGTGCCAGGCGTCCCGCCTCGACATGCAGCGGAACAGGAACCTTCTGCTAGTGGTCCTTCTCACCAATCTGTAAGCGTGTCTTTTCTCTACTTGACGCTTTTTGAGGGAAGTGCATGCCCCTCAGGGGGCTCTGCTGCTGCAGCGGCGCTGCTGCTGCTGGTGGCTCAGGGTTTCACTCTCCTGCATGGGGGCACACACTGGTGCCAGGCCTCCCGCCTCGACACACGGCGCAACAGAAACCTTCTGCTTATTGTGCTGCTCACCAACCTGTAAGTGTCCCTATATAACGCCCATCGTGGCACCTACGCCCTCCGCTCCCCCTTCCATTTACCGCCCTTCAACCTTATGGTTTTTTTGACATATTGCTGTTTCTCTATCCCTGCACCCTTGCATACACCCCTGGCAGGATCTTCCTCTGTGTTACCATCCTCGCTCTCTCCGTCTCCTCCCTAGACAACGCCCATCCCGGAACCTACGCCCTCCGCTCCTCCTCCCCATCCTCCTCCCCCCTCTCCCCCAACCAAACCCCCGACCCCTGCCCAGTAGCCGACTCGGCTCTCTTCCTCTCCGCCTCACTCCTCTGCCTCTTCACCGTTCTTCTCATGGAGGCGTATTATATCGCTGCCATGCGCACGCGGCAATATGCGTGGATGATCTCCCGTTATTGCACCGTTCGCTCGGTGCATCTCGAGGCGTTTCAGCGCGAGGCGATGCGGGCGAGCGTCGTGCCGGTCGGATCACCGAGATCGGATCTAGAAGCAGGAGAGGAGATCAAGGAGGCCTAACAGCTTGTACGGTAGTAACTAGTTATTTCTCTTTGAACTTTCAAGAATAAGCTTTCTGTAGCATGTTGCTATGCCAGCTCATGACAGTGTACCAACGATATGACCCGTGTATTGCGTGGATGATTTCCCGTTATTGCACCGTTTGCTCGGTGCAACTCGAGGCGTTTCAGCTCGAGGCCATGCATGCGAGCGTTGTGCTGGTCGGATCAGATATAGAATAGGTGCTGATAACATTGTCAAGTACTGAAATCTGGGGAAGAGATAGAGGAAGTTGATAACATTGTCGAGTACTGGTAGTTGCAAGATCCAAGCCTATTTTTGTGCTGTTCATGCAGAGTGTACCGTACTCTGAACTGGTACGCAGCTTTGGTTTCATGTCAACAGGTGGCTTCCAGTGCATAGATTGCTTCCCTCAAGTACCAGGACCCTGAATTCCCGAGTAATGCGCCCAGCTGTGGCATTCTCAGTGCGAGTCCTAAGTCCTGACACCTACAGCTGCAGCAAGCAACTCTTCACAACTTATCGTAATCTGGTAAAAAGAAAAACCTCTGCTCTTGTATAATGACTCCTGCTTTGCAATCCCAGGCACCTAAATCAGCAAGACCTCCCTTTCTCACGTACAGGTACTGTATTTTTCCATCCACCAAAAACTCTCAATTCTTGTATTTCCAATCTGGACATTGCCCTTGGCGATCTTGAACCATTCAGTAGGGAAGCTACCACCGATGTCCGCACGCCCACTCTCCCTTCTCCCCATCTTCACCTTAGACGTTTTGGCTCTACATCTTGCCCTTGGCGATCTTGGACCACTCAGTATGGTAGCTGCCATCAACGTCCACACGCTCGTACGTGTGTGCCCCAAAGTAGTCGCGCTGCGCTTGCACGAGGTTGGCAGGCAGGCGGGCACGGCGGTAGCTGTCAAAGTAAGCCAGGCTGCAAGTGGGGGAGGCAGGGAGACAGGTGGCAAGAGGACAAGTGAAGGCATGAGCGAGAGTTTTTTAAGGTGCAGTAGGGGTGGTCGAGCTGTGCTTGCACCAGGTTTGCAGGCAGGCGGGCACGGCGGTAGCTGTTGAAATAGGCCAAGCTGTGAGTGGGCGAGGCAGGGAGACAGAGGGCAAGCGAAGGCACGAGCAAGAGTTTTTCAAGGGCTGTAGTTGCAGAGAGCTTGCACCAGGTTGGCAAGCAGGCGGGTGCAGTGGCAGCTGTGGAAATCTGCGAGGCTGTAAGCGGGTAAGGGAGAGATCTTAGGGGACGGAAAGCAGAAAAGAGAGCAATACAGGAGGGACGAGTCAAGGGAACACGGTTGGCGGGCAGGCAGACATGCCAGCAGCCCATCCCCCCACCTCACCTGGTGCTCATGCGCGAGGCTGTAATCACTGCTCGGTTCGCTAGAGTGACAACGCGCCGCCACGCCTGCTGCCTTTCCACCACCTCCTTTTGCAATACTCAACCAGCAATCCCCTGCCACTACCTTACCTCTCTCTCCCCTCACCTGGTGCTCATGCCGGGGGCAGTGATCCCTGCCTGGATCGCTAGAGTGACCACCCTACGCCACGCCTGCTGCCGCTCCACCACCTCCTTGGCGAACTCAGAATCCACCAGCAGATTCGCCAGCGCTGGGTTCCGGTCATACGCCTGCTTGATGCGATCCAGAAACACAGCCCGGATAATACACCCGCCCTTCCAGATCCTCGCCAGCTCGCCGAGGTTCAACCCCCAGCCCTGCTCCGTGCTTTTCGCGCGGATGAGGTTCATCCCCTGCGCGTAACTGCAGACCTTGGACGCGTAAAGAGCCTTCCGAACATCGTCTACAAGCTGGGCTTTATCCACTCCTGGGACAGCCGCTGCCCCGTCCGAAAGCCCAGCTGCGGCGAATACCGCAGAAGCCGCCACCCGCTCGTCTTTCAGGCCGGAGATGTAGCGGGAGTCAAGAGACGCAGCGATGGTGGGGGCGGCTATTGAGAGCTCTGCTGCCTGCTGGACCGTCCATTTGCCCGTGCCCTTCATGCCGGTTTTGTCGAGGATTGCGTCGACCAGGAACTTGTTCTCGCCGGGTGCTGCACGGTCGTCCTTGACTGCGAAGATGTCGGCGGTGATCTCCACCAGGAAGCTCTCCAGCTCGTTCTTGTTCCAGCTGGTAAAAACAGAGTGGAGCTCCTCGTTGGATAGCCCGCCCACATTCTTCAGGATGTCATAGCTGCAAGAAGCATGGGGGGGGCATGGGGAGCAGAAGGAGAACAGGAGTGACCAGGAAGCTCTCCAGCTCGTTCTTGTTCCAGCTCGTGAAGACGGCATGCAGCTCCTCGTTTAAAGGCCGCCCACGTTCTTGAGAATGTCGTACCTGGGATGACAAGAAGGGGACAGGGGTTAAGAGGGAAGCGAGAAAGCCAGGGAGGGGGAAAGGGAAGGGGGGAAGCCAGGATGGGGGAAGGGGAAGGGGGAAGGATGGAAAATGGGAATAGGAGAGTGAGCTTTTGAGCTCATACTTGTTCCAGCTGCATGTCGCCGTATTTAATCCCTCAGTGCACCATTTCACGAAGTTCCCCGCACCAGCAGTCTTCACGAACACAACACCCGTCCCATCGTCACCTGCCCATCCCCACCGCAACCAACCCCACCCGACCCCAAGCCACCCAGCCATAACACCCCAGTAACTCACGCTTCCGAGATGAGCTGCATGTCGCCGTACTCAATCCCATTGTGCACCATCTTTACGAAGTTCCCCGCGCCGCCCTTGCCCACGAAAGTCACGCACGGCCCGTCGTCCACCTGAGCGGCCACCTTCTTTACCACGTCCTCCACTATCGCGTACGCCTCCTTGGACCCGCCTGGCATGAGCGACGGCCCGAACCGAGCGCCCTCCTCGCCGCCTGACACGCCCATGCCCAGGTAGAGCAGACCCTTGGCCTTCGCCTCCGCCTCTCTGCGCTCCGTGTTCTCGTACCTGGAGCACAACACAATGCGGAACAGGGAAATGCGGGACAGGGAAGAGAAGGGAGGGGTAACGGAAAAGGAGGATTTTTTTAATCCACTCATACTTTGCCTCAGCTTGGCCTCCGCATCCGTTTAACCCATATATCAAGCGATACTGCGAAAGAAAGGGCGAGGAGGATAATGCATGAACTACTAATGTTGAAATGTGAGCAGAACATAATTGGCTGTATCCAGGTCTTGCACATCTGTTTTACGAGTGCGATTTATCATTTTTGGACAAAGTTTCCCAAATCGTCTCGCTGTCGTAGACTCTCATAGTATTATCCATAACATTCTGGGTGAATCAACTAAAACATACTGCCTCACCATTCGTTCCCGCCGTCGATGATGACGTCACCCGGCTCCAAATACTCCGAGAGAGCCTTGATCGTGTCATCGACGGGCTTCCCGGCCTTCACCAGAATGATGATCGCTCTGGGCCGTTGGATCGACTGCACGAAGTCCTTCACGTCGTGGAAGCCCCGCAGCGGCAGGTCGCCCTCCGCCTTGGCGCGAGCGACGGTGTCGTCGACCTTGCTGGCCGTGCGGTTGTACACGGAGATGGGGAAACCCTTTTCGGCAATGTTCAGAGCGAGGTTCTGCAGGGAAGGAAAGAAGACGGACGGAATACATTAGATACGACATCACCGGGTCGTTCATCTTGGTTGCTGTGCGGGTTTGCACGAAAGTCGAGAAACCCCTTTCCGCAATGATTCGCAGGCAGGGAGGAATTTTCCCTGCGCAACCTTGCAAAACTGCTTGGCGGAATTATGAAATAAATATCGTCTCGCGAATATTCAAAACAGGCTCATTACTCAAGAAAAACGAAGGGAAATGCCTTGACAAATGTCCATTCCCAGTAACCTTACCTGTCCCATCACCGCCAAGCCAGCGAGGCCGATCCGTGAAAAACCAGTGGAAGACGCCATTCTGCAGGGAAATATTGAAGTATTACACGGATGAGATGGACGGGAAGAGACAGCGATACAACGAATTAGTACCAATCAATGCATCAACAAACTGCAGCTGAAATTGCGTACGCCAATAGTTTGGCCGGAAAAAATCAGCAAAGACATCGCATTTCTTTGTCAACCATGATAATTATTTTTTTGGTTACTCTCTTATAGCTTAGTCCTGCAAAAACAAACAGATGTAGCGCCGTTATTCGTTGTGACTTACTTGGAACTCTGAGCTGCGTCTGCGACAGTCGCCCGAACAATGCTGCTAGATCGTTGACGCTTTTCTTGGAATACTTCTGCAGCGGAACATTATGTGAAGAAACAATACGAAATTGGTGTAACGAACAGTAAATCTGCCGTCCGAACGACTGATCGTAAAGTAATCGAAATGTAATCGCTACGAGGTAGCAGGCCAGACAGAGCGCGCGCGGAAAATACGTTCGGTGGGATGGAGACGAGCGGGAAGCATTACCAACACACCTTGTTTGTGCGTGGATGACAATGGGAGACCAGACTGCGAGAAACTTGCAGAAAGCTTTTTCCAAGCAAGCCTGTTCTGGGTGCCTGATTGACTCTTCCGGACAGAGCTAGCTGATCGAGTAAGAGACGCAGCAGCGGTCAACGAACTCGTGGCTACGAGCTCAGCAGCCATGGAATGACGTTATATGAATGCCTGGAAGAATCTGTAGGCAAGAATCAGGCAAATTGCCTTGGGAGATGGCTGAGGGGGGAGGTGAGTGAAAATGGAGGGGATGCAAGGAAAGAGGGGAGGTTCTGGAATCCTGGAACGTTGGAGCTTGGGAAGCTGGAAGGAAAATGAAAGCCCAAGGTTGGTTCGTCCGAAATAGCTGCGAGGGAAGCAGTCGCGTGCGAAATATCCGGAATCGCTTGTCAATGTAGGGAATTTTTTTTTGAAGACATTCTCCACAGGTTTATGTAATATGGGAGTTTTCTATGCCGCAGAGAAAGTGTCTGTACCGTGGCCAATACGTAAACGCTAGTTCAACCCTGGGTATCAGGTCTGATCCAGAGGAATTGTGAAGTTTTACTTCTCCGCTTCTGAAAAACGAGATGACTTTCCAAAACTCGAAGCCCCCAGAAACAGGGGGTGACATAATGCTTGCAGGGCAGCCAGGGTAGATGACTTTTACAAAAGCCACCTTTCCAAGCGGCCAAAAAGGTGCCCTGCAGCTCCGAAAAGCGGGGATCTCAGACAGCTTTTTACTGGCCCGTCCGCATCAGCCCACTAGACCCAAACTGCGTGTCAAGGTCTTACAGATCTTTTATCTGCCCAGTTGGAGCTCCAAGCCACGTCGAAGGTCAGGCCAGCTGGGCTGCTCTGGGGACCACCAGCTGGCCCTTCGCTCGAAAATTCCGCGAATTCTTGCGCAGTCCAAAAATCTGCCCCTTCCAGAGCGCAGAGGCCTCGGATTCACCGCAAACATCAATGTTCGGGAGGCGGAAAAGGCGCACAGCTGAGGGGTTTAGGTGAAGAGCTAGACGCCCCTTTCTATGTGCAGCTCTTTGCCCTTTCTCCCAAACCTTATCTGCTAAGGATGCTGCCTCCATTTTCACAAAGCTTCTATGTCTGATGGCTACTCCATCAGCCGGCATGCCTCGCTTTGCTGCTCTCTGCTTGCCTCCCTATCGCGCGCAGTAGCCAGCGTTGGCCCACTGCGTTGACGTCAAAACGTGGGCAGGTGATCGACGCGTAAACGGATGATTTTCGTTAGAGAGTGATGTGTGAACACGAAGAATCTGAACTCTAGCGGATTCTTCATGGTTGGCTAGATTTGGAGCTTTCATGGCTTCGCCCGGCCGTCTCTGGCTTGGCTCCTGGGCGCGCTTCCTATTGGGCCAGCGCCTCGCGCCGTACGTCCCCACACCTCCGCACGTGGTTCGGGAGATGCTTCGGCTGGCTCGTGCCGGACCTGACGACGTGGTTTGCGACCTGGGGTGCGGCGACGGGAGATTGCTGGTGGAAGCCGCACTAAGACACGGGTCGAGAGGGTTCGGCGTGGATTTAAATGCGGAGTTGCTACGCGCAGCTGAAGAAAACATTCGAAGTCACGGATTGGCTGACCGAATTACAGTCTCTTGCCAGGTAGCATTGCGAGAAAGGTGTGAGGGTGTTTGGATTGGGATAATGGGGGCCGGACTGGAGGGGAACTTGAAAACAGGAAGGGGTAAGGGGAAGGAGGGAGGAGGAAGGGGGGAGAGAATGGAGTAATGGGAGGATAGAGTGGAAATGGCTGGTGGATTGTATTTCTGTTAAGGTTGAAGTAGGGCATTTGAAGTAACGAATCGGAACTAGGGGGTTCGAAGTATGGGAAGAGCCGTGGTTAATAAGTCAGGCACTGATAAAAATATGTCTGTCCTTATCCCTGCAGGATGCACTGAAGGTGGACCTTCACGAAGCAACAGTGGTAACCCTATACCTTAGCGAATTTGGTAACCAGCAGCTGGTGCCTCGCCTGCAGTTCCAGCTGCCTCCGCACAGCCGCGTCGTCTCCTTCTGCTGGAAGTTTCCTGAGAAGTTTCGGCCGGTGGAGGAGAGGAGAATAGATGGCATTCCGCTCTACTTGTACAAGTTCTGTTAACAAGAGAAGTGGTAGGGTGGGAAGGGATGTGGTAAGGTAACAGGGACGTAGGTGTACAGGTTAGGAGATAGGACATACTGCGAACAGAGGAGGTGCAAGGGAGGAATGTATGCCTGAAATTCGAGGATAGCCTGCTAGCAGAGGAGGTACCGTAGCAGGAATGTAGCTGTGCATCAGACTGAGTGCTGCAATGTGGTCTCAAGCGGTGCAAAACAGTGCAAGTGGCAGTGATTGATGTATATAAGAACTATGCAGGGTAGCTGAAGGCCAAATGCATGCTCCTGCGCGGTGGATGGATGAGCCTTGGAAATTGTGTTGTGGAAAGACTGGGCGAAATCCGTGTGTATCCAGAGTCATCCCTAGTACAAGCACATAGTGATGGCTTCATGCTGGTGGGTAATGCTAAGGGATCCACCCTAAACAAATTGTGGGATAACCAGGCCAAATCTATGCGTCCTGAGAGTCAATGCAGTGGGTCCCCATGTGGCCACTCCCATTACAAGCACACAGCCACCGGAGGGGCCTGCCGTGTCATGTAGCCGTGTGCTGACCCCACAACCAAGATTCATGCTTTCCTTGCTCTGCTCTGCTGTTGCTACACATTCTGAGCGTCGAAGCGTGAATTCCACAGTTGCCGATTCCCCTGGTGAGATCACACCTGAACCAGGTTGCACCTGCAGCCAAATCGGCCAATCACATCTCGCGCCTGCTCCTGTTGTAATCACATCTCCGTGTGCAGTCAACCCATCCTCGTTTCCGGTGCCGGACCCTCCCACCCTCTTCTCCCCATCCTTCCATCCCTCCACCTCCTCCTTCAGCCCATCCACACCCTCGCAAACAACTCTAAACCCCATCGCATGTCCTGTGCTCTTATCGCTCTTATTGCTCACGACCACCGAAGCTCTTCCCATGCTCGAGTCTATTCTCACATTAGTGCTGGCAGCAAGGAGGGAGGAGCGTTGGGATGTTGCCATTTGCCGGAGCAGCAAGGAGAGAGGGGGATATGTGTCTTGTGGCGCCTCAAGAGTGGAGGAGAGAGGGGAGGAGAGAGGGGAAGAGAGAGGGGAAGAGAGAGGGGAAGAGAGAGGGGAAGAGAGAGGGGAAGAGAGAGGGGAAGAGAGAGGGGAAGAGAGAGGGGAAGAGAGAGGGGAAGAGAGAGGGGAAGAGAGAGGGGAAGAGAGAGGGGAAGAGAGAGGGGAAGAGAGAGGGGAAGAGAGAGGGGAAGAGAGAGGGGAAGAGAGAGGGGAAGAGAGAGGGGAAGAGAGAGGGGAAGAGAGAGGGGAAGAGAGAGGGGAAGAGAGAGGGGAAGAGAGAGGGGAAGAGAGAGGGGAAGAGAGAGGGGAAGAGAGAGGGGAAGAGAGAGGGGAAGAGAGAGTGGGCGTTTCAGCGGAAAAAGCAGCAGGAGAGAGGTTGCTTCCAGAAGGAAGGTTTGTTTCAGCAGTAAAAGAGAGCAGGTCAGTGGCAGGGGTGGGGGTAGTAGAGCTAGTGGTGCTAGTGGAGGGGAGTGGGGTGGAGAGGAGTGGAGATGTGAGGAGGCGGGCAACCAGAGACCTCTGAGCAGCAGCATCAGGGCAGGCGATGGTGACTTGCATGATCGAGGTGACTGGCTTGTGGTCGCTCTGAAAGGCCGCCATGCAGGACGTGTAGCTGGGGGGAGGGGGAGTAGTGCGGAATGGTAGCAAGGGGAACAGGGGGACAGGAGGGTGTGACTTGCATGAAGGAGGTGACTGGCTTGTGATCGCTCTGAAAGGCCGCCATGCAGGCTGTGTAGCTGGGGATGGGCAGGGGGGAAGAGGGGGTAGGAGGACGGGGGAGGGGGAGTATGGGAGGGGGAGCATGAAAAGGTAGAAAGGGGAATAGGGCAAGTGAACAGTGGGAGGGCAGGCGATGGTGACTGGCTTGTGGTCACTCTGAAAGGCCGCCATGCAGGTTGTGTAGCTGGGGGGTGGTAGGGAGGGGGAAGGGAAGAGCGGTGGTGGGAGGTGGGAAGGGAGAAGCGAGGGGGCATTGGAGAGAGAAAAAGAACGGCAGCAAGGTAGGCGTTTGTGGCATAGTAGCAGAACGAGCATCAGCGAGAGGCATAGAAACGGAGTGAGAGCGGAAGCAAGAGCGAGGAGAGAGAGAGACGCACCGTAGCACTTCGACTGAAACAGGGTGGGAGAGGGAGGTTCTCCCCTTGGCCACGCCATTGCTGCCACAGCCACCATCCCTTAGTGGGCCAGACGAATCGATCCTGCTTGTTTCACCACTCTGGGGTGTGCTGCTGCTGCTAGTGAAGCTGTCTCTAAAGAGGATGCGGTCGCACCAGGCAGGGACCCGGCGCTTCTCACCGGAATCATATGCTGGGAGGGATGGGAGGGACGATTGGCATGAGAGGGACCAAACAACAAATTATTTAAGGTACCAGAACTGACACCCACTGAGCGTGATCAAACTTGTAGGTCAGGGCAAAGTCAACAGCCCCCTCCTGCATGCCCACAAACGCCCTCCCTGCCTTCATCTCCGCTCTCAGCTGATCGCAATCGAGCAGCAGCGGGCACTGCCTTCTTGCCACGGAGCTGCATGCTTCTACACTACCTCTACACCCACTGCCAGCCTGCATCTCCGCTCTCAGCTGATCACAATCCAGCAGCAGCGGGTACTGCCTCTGCCTCTGCCTCTGCCTCTGCCTCCAGTAACACTGATCCCACGCCAGCAGCAGCGGGTACTGCCTCCTTGCCACAGTGCTGCACGTTTCTAAACTATACCACACCACACCCAGCCTGCATTCCTCCTCGCACAGGGACCTAGAACAGGCACCCACCCTGGGGGTTGAAAGTGCCACGATCGAACTTGTAAGTCGGCGCAAAGTCAACTCCAGCCTCCTGCATTCCCACAAACGCCCTCCCTGCCTTCATCTCCGCTCTCAGCTGATCACAATCCAGGAGCAGCGGGTACTGTCTCCTGGCAACAGCGCTGCATGCTTCATCGTAGGTCACCCCGTCGAGGCGGTAGTTCAAATCGCCCATCCAGATGAGCAGGTCGCTCTGAGAGAGGTCAGGGCGCGGGGAGGAGGGCTGGGGGAGAGGCAGGGGAGGGGAGGGGGAAGCAGCTGGTCAGGGCCCTCCTAGCCACCGCGCTGCATGCCTTGGGAATCACTTTTGAGAATTCTCAAAAGCATGCCTCGTCGCATGTACACCCGTCGAGGCGGTAGTTCAAATCGCCCAATCCAAATGAGCAGATCGCTCTGAGCTAGGTCAGGACGAGGGGAGGGGGGCTGCGGGGATGGGAGGAATAGGGGCAGGGCAGGGAGGCAGGTGGTGACTGAAAGGCCTTCTTTTGCCCTTGCCTTGAACCAAATCGCCCATCCAAATGAGCAGATCGCTCTGACCTAGGTCAGGACGAGGGGAGGGGGGCTGCGGGGATGGGAGGAATAGGGGCAGGGCAGGGAGGCAGGTGGTGACTGAAAGGCCTTCTTTTGCCCTTGCCTTGAACCAAATCGCCCATCCAAATGAGCAGATCGCTCTGAGAAGGAGGGGGGGGGGGCAGGCGAGGGGGGCTGCAGGAGGGGGAAGGAGGGAAGGGGAGAGAGGGACGGGAAGCGGTTGGCCACAGGCCTTCATCCTTTCAGCTGGTCACGTGCCTTCATCCCTCCTCTCAGTAAGACACCCCGTCGAGGAGGGGGTAGTTCAAATCGCCCATCCACATCAGCAGATCGACCTGAGATAGGTCAGGACAGGGGGGGGTGGGCTGTGGGGATGGGGGAGGGGAGGGGAGGGGGGGGGTAGAACTAGTCATCGCTCTAAGGCCAGCACTCTATTAAGTAGTAGCCACTCTAGTAAGCAATATGGTCTGGTAGGTTTCGTGTTCTTGAGAATAATAATAATAATAATAATAAAAAAAAACCCTGCAACCTGACAGGCTCTGCTGCAGTCCACATAATGGCAGGCAGGATTTAACAACTTCTGCCAGTCAGATGTTTCTTGAGGCGCCTCATAAGTCAATCTAGTTGACTCCTCGGCCTGTTCTGATAGCCCTCGCCAGTCCGTCGCATTTCACAATTCTAGTGATATAGCTGCCATGGCTGTACTGTACAGTGTGACTCACTAAGGCGTGACTCTTTTAAGCATGCCAGACTTACCGCGGGAGGTGAGACGATGAGCACAGCTGCAGCAGTCACGGCAGCAACTGTGGCAGCAGAGGCAAGGGCTGCTGCAGGCCAACCAAACGAAAGGGCGCCAAGGAGAAGCAGAGGCAGACCGGTGCACACACAACAGCAGCACGCAGCAGCAAGGTCTTCGGAGGGAGATTTCACCTCCAGATGGGGCAAGCAAGCAGAGCGAGATGGCTGCTGAGCTGGGAACCCTACAGAGTCACAGGAGGGCTGAGAACCAGCAGACGCGGTCAGAGCTTTCTCTGATGAATCAGAGGAAAGACCACGTGATTTCAAAAGGGGGGCCGCTTCAGAGCTCTCTTGCTCCTCTTCGTTGCCATTCCCTTGCAGTTTCAAATGCCTTTCGGGGACACCAGAAGAAGCCAAAGAGGGAGGCAGCACCACAGAACATGAAGAATCACTGTTCCCAATGCCGGACCTGCTGCTAGTAGTAATGGTGGTGATGCCTTCAGTCGACGCAAAACGCACCTCAGAATACGAATCAACTCTTCCAATGCCGGAGATGCTGTTGTTGCCAGCTGCAGATGGGACCCAATCAGACCCTGCCACGTCAGTGCCTTGAGTGCTGGAGATGGGGACAAAGCCTGCCGCCCCTCCTGCTCCCACTCCCCTCCCTGCTGCTTTCACAAAACCCTGTACGGCTGATTGGAAGCCGGCTGAAACGACAAGAGAGCGTGGTGGTAGGGGAGAAGAAGGGGTGGATTGGGAGAAGGGGTGGGTGGTTTGGTTTGTCATACTTTACAAGGTGGCATCTGAGTTGACTCATGCGTCAGGAGAAAGCGAGTTGAATGATCCAGCTTCCAAGATTCACACGCCCACCCTCTCTACTCCTTGAACCTCATCTGATTCACTTTTGAGTCGACTCAAAAGACACCCACCCTCTTCACTCCTTGAACCTCATCTGATTCACTTTTGAGTCGACTCAAAAGACACCCACCCTCTTCACTCCTTGAACCTCATCTGATTCACTTTTGAGTCGACTCAAAAGACACCCACCCTCTTCACTCCTTGAACCTCATCTGATTCACTTTTGAGTCGACTCAAAAGACACCCACCCTCTTCACTCCTTGAACCTCATCTGATTCACTTTTGAGTCGACTCAAAAGACACCCACCCTCTTCACTCCTTGAACCTCATCTGATTCACCTCCAGCATGCCTTTGCAGCGTTGGTGGCAGCAGTGCCTACAGTCCTAATGGATCGCCCAAACTCCATGCTTGTGTAAATGCGATGCCAGTCCTCGTTGCACACTTCCCACACTCTCCTCACCCATCCCCCTCAAGCCCCCGACCTCACACCTACCTCCAGCAGCTTTAGCTGCATTAGTAGCAGCAGTACCAACAGTCCCCATGATTCGCCCAAACTCCATGCTTGTGTGAATCCGATGCCAGTCCTCGTTCTGTACCCTATCCCCTCCCCCAAACCCCCCAGGCCCCACCCTGTATTTTACCTCCAGCGGCCTTGGCTGCGTTGGTGGCAGCAGTGCCAACAGTTCCCATGGATCGCCCGAACTCCATGCTCGTGTAAATCCGATGCCAGTCCTCGTTCCGCTTAGCTGTCGCGTTGTCATGGGCTGCCAGGTGGCAGTTGATGATTGCACAGACGCGCCCGCATATTGTCATGCGCACGCCCACCCCTCCCTGGTCGTAAAGTGTGCAAGAATATGGGATTATATGGGATAATATGGGATAATATGGGATAATATGGGATAATATGGGATGATATATGATAAACTGTGCACTGTCGTGCGCTGCCAGGTGGCAGTTAACGATTGCACAGCTGTCGACCACATACTGAAATGTTGGATCGAATGGGCGGTGAGAGATTGAGTGAGTGAATGATTGGAAAACCAGAAAAACAGAGAATACGAGGAATATAGAGTTGGGCTTGTGAAGCGACAAACAAACAGTGAAAGAACGGGAGGCAAAGGAAGTGGAAAACATTCAGCGCGATATAAAAATGAACGAGAAGCACAAGGCCGAGCTGTAATCCAGCTGTAGCACACTTATAGTGCCAGAAACCACAGTTGTTATTTCAGACTCTGCACCTTGTTTCCAAGGGCTCGACCGAAACCGCATGCAACAGCCCCCGTCTCGACGTCAGAGATGTCCGGAAGGAGAGACTCTCGCACCCTGTAGGAGAGAAAGAGTGAGGTAGGGCAGGATGGGGAAGAAAGTTAGAGACAAGATATTTGGGGCGCCTCATGATAGACACATGCCTGTGTCAACGTCAGATTTATCCGGCAGGAGTGATTTACGCACCCTGGTGGAGAGAGAAACAGGTGAGGTAGGGGAGGAAAATAGGCTAGGGTTGTGAAAATTAACAAAAATAGAAATCAACAAATAACACAAATAGAATCTCCAACTTAGAATGATGGACCAACCAAAAGCTGCCACCTTACCAAACAGTAAGCAGCATGCCCGCCAGCTGTCGAGACGCGATTCGCACAAAACCATCATCCGCACAGGCAGCAGCAGCAGAGGAGGAAGCGGAAGAGGCAGAGGAGATGGAGGAAGGATCAGAGGAAGCAGTGAGTCCAGAACCAACAGCAGAAGCACCAGCAGAACCGCCAGCAGCAGCACCAGCAGAAGAGCCAGCAGAACCACCAGCGGCACCAAGGGCCTTGCGAATAACCGCAGTCCACTCCTGCGCAGCACCGCTCTCTTTCTCCTGCAAACCCATCCCAACCGATTCCTTGGCAGCAGCAAGAGCAATGGCCCTTGCACCCATCTCAACCTCTTGCAACCCCACTGCAACCACATCTGCCCCCCTAGCCACCTCCCCCAACAAAGCCTGGACCGTCTCCCCGTCTGGTTTCTCCTCCCCCACGTTCCATGTTCCAGTTGCCACTTGCAGCTTTCGTCTTTTAGTGAACGCCTGGGACTGGGCGGCGAGGTCGGCAAGCAGTGCGGATTGTAGGGGCGGCGAGGGAAGGGCGGAGGGCCAGGCTGAAACTTCGCCGTTCTTTGCAACGGATAAGACAAACTGGCCCACTGTTGTGGTGGTACTGTAGCTGCAGCTGCTGCCGCCACCACCGCCGCCACCGCAGCCGCCGCGGCTGCTGTCAGTGGCACTACTGCCGCTGCTATTACTCCTGGTGGTGGTAGTGGTGGTGGTAGTAGTGGTAGCAGCTTGGGCAATCAGTCCTAGAGTGAAAGGTACGAGCTGGCGAACGGCAGGGAGACCAGAAATACCCTGGCTACCACTCATGCGCATAATACCACTGCTCCCTTCTCTGCTTTCCGCGCTGATCCCTCTACTAGTCCCCCCATAGCTTTCCCCACTCCTGCTGTCATCTGGGCGTGCGAAGCCATCCTGACGCCCTTCTAACAGCATGCCTCCCCTGAACCTTTCCTTCTGATCCTGCTCCTGCTGCTGCTGGTACTGCTGCTGCTGCTGCTGTTGTTGCTGCTGCTGATACTGCTGTTGCTGTTGCTGGTACTGCTGCAGCTGTAGCTGCTGCTTGCGACTCAGCCTTTGCACACCAGGCCACCCGCCTAGTCTCCTCCCGTTTCTCGCCCCAAGCACTACTATCCCCCCATCCGCCATCCCCACCCAAAGCCTCAACCCCACAATACAGACACAACACACGCCTGCCTCCAACCCTACCTCATGCAGCCTCGCCCCACACCTGTCAATCCGAACCAGCGCGCCGGACCTGAACCCGAACCAGACCGAACCATCACCCACAGCGGTTGCTGCTTGAAGCTTTCTCAGAGACCCCCCTGAGACTCTTACTGCTGGGGACGGAGAGGAAAAGGTGGTGCTGCTACCACCGCTACTACTCGTATCCAAATCGTCAATACCACCACCACTGCCACTCAAGTACTCCTCTCCTTTTCCTGCTGCTGCAGCAGCTCTTACAGCATCGGTCACTGCCCCCTTAGCTTTCCCCAGCACTTCCCGAGACTTAGCTAAAAGTTTCCACGCGCCTTCCATACGCCTGTCTCGAGAATTACCCCCACCACCAGCAGTATTGCTGAATGCGCTGCTGCTGCTGATGATGCTGACGTCACTGCTATTTGCTGTTGAGTCGCCACGGGGAGGAAAGCTCCTGGAAGGTTCTTCTGATGCACTCGGCTCTGAGAGGGAGGAGAGAGCTCGAATCAGCTCCTTTTTTCTTGCATCCCTGTCAAGGGGGAACAAGGGCGTGCAGAGGGATACGACGGGGTGGAGAGTTCGGGTTTCGGGTTTCTGGTTTAGGGGGATCGGAGAGATGTTGAGAGACTCAGTGTGGTAAGGGAGGAGAGAGCTCTTATTACCTTCCCTTCTTGCATCCCTTTCGAGGGGGGGATGGGAAGCGGTTTGGGATGTGCAGGGATGGACAGGGATGCGCAGGGATGAGCAGGGATGTGCAGGGATGAGCAGGGATGTGCAGGGATGTGCAGGGATGAGCAGGGATGTGCAGGGATGTGCAGGGATGTGCAGGGATGCGCAGGGACGTGCAGGGATGTGCAGGGATGTGCAGGGATGCGCAGGGATGTGCAGGGATGTGCAGGGATGTGCAGGGATGTGCAGTGATTGCCATATTTATAGAACGGTGGGATAAAGCTTACCAGATGCATGCCGAGGCAGGGCCAGCCGTCCACCCCACCTCACCCCACCCCAACCATGATCCTTATGAGGTTGGAGGCAGTGGGATGAAGCTTACCAGATGCATGCCGAGGCAGGCCCGGCAGTCCACACCCAGCCAGTAGCCGCATCAGCCACCATCACCCTCACAGCTCCTCGTGCGGTTGAAACGTTAGGCAGCGGTACAGCCGGAATGCTCTCAGGTACAGGTGATAGTGCCCTGGGTGATGTACCGCCGTTATTGGCAGCACCAGCACCAGCACCAGCACCACAGCCAGCACCACCAGTTGCAGCGGCAGCAGCATTGGCAGTAGCAGGGTCATAGCCTGTGCGGTTTTCGTTACTGGTACTACTCCCGCCACCGCCGTATCCTCTTAGATTGGATTCCGCCACATCGTTCCGAGCCTGCTCGCCCGCCGCCGAGCCTGACGAGCCTCGGTGCTGCCGAAGCTCCACGCAGGCAGGGCTGATGCGGTTCGGCAGGGCCGCACCTGCCACGTCAACATTCTGCTGCTGCTGCTTCTGATCAGATGCTACTATCGGCCTGTACCCCTCCTCCTCTAGGCCCTCCTCTAGTGCAACGAAGGCACGGTGAATCTCTTTACTAAGGGAGAGCCCGTTCCATGCTTTGATGATGCCACGATCACCTGCTGACCACAGCTCGCCTGCCCATGCCATGGGGGTAGGTGGGTTGGGGAAGAGGAGACCAGCAGGAAGCAAGTATTGACATGCCAATGCCATGGAGGTGGGCCTCTCTGCTCAGGGAGAGCCCGTTCCATGCTTTGTTGATGCCACGATCTCCTGTCGACCACAGCTCGCCTGCCCATGCCATGGGGGCGGGGAGGAGGGGTGGGATGAGTACAATGAAGCAGAGACAGGCATGCTGAAAAGATATCTTCAAGATCTCCTGTCGACCACAGCTCGCCTGCCAGTGCCATGCAGGCGGGGGGAGAAGAGGGTGAGTGCAATGAAAGGAGTATAGGCGTGCTCTTCTGAGTTTTCTGCCAGATTTCAGGCATGTGACTAACTCTTGGATACATATGCAGCACCTTAGTAAGGGGATGGATACTCACCATAGGGAGTGACGATCAGAGCAGTCACAGTGGCAGTATGCGCCTGCCAATCCGCCACCAGCGCCACCTGCACTGCAGGATCCTGCAAACCAATTCCCAACCCCCTCTTGACTCCCTTCTTTCCTGGACCTGCCTTCACTCCAACGTCCCTTCTAATGCCTCCTCCTGAGTCTCCTCCTATGCCGCTTTCTGTGCCTCTCTTTGTTCCTGTCACCCCCATTCCCGTTAGCAGCACCCTCCACACTAGCACGCGCCCGTCCTTGTGCCCCGTAAACACCACGCCGAGCCTGTCGTCCGAGGCTATGCTCTTAGCTCGGGCTGCCAGGCCTCGGAACGGCACAAAGACAAACGGGGCAGCATCAGAACCCAGACGGGAAGGGGGCTTTAATGGTCTCTTCGGCTGTGAAAATTCCATATCCTTTAGTGCTACGCCTTCAGAATCTACTGCTCCTGCCACTGCTGTGTCAAATCCCCCGGGAACTCCTGCTTTGTATTCTCCTGTTGCTCCTGCTTTGGCAGCTCCCGATGCTCCTGCCTGGCCTGCTCCGATTGCTCCTGCTGCTCCTGCTTTCGCTGCTCCCCCTGCTGCTTCAGGTAGCATGGCTTGCCGCATGTCCCATGCCCTCAGGCCGTCATCAGTCACACACACCGCCACACTCCCCACTGCCACAAGCAGACAACTCTTGCCACCCGCATCTGGCCCAGTTAGATTCGCTTCAGCTGCTGCTGCTGCTGCTGCTTCTTCCGCTGATGCTGCTGCCGCTGTTGCTGCTTTTGCTGCTTCTGCTGCCGCTGTTGCTGCTGCCACTGCCGCTGTCGCTGCCGCTGTTGCTGCTGCTGGTGATGGCGATGGCAAGGAGGACGACGACGAATGCGGCAGTAACGACGACGTGGACGACACAGGTGAGAGGTCGGAAGATGCGGAAAGAGATGCTGTTACTGATAACGACTGCGGAACAGCTAAAAACGAGGATAAAGGAGGGGAGGAGGACAATAAGGATGAGGTTGAGGATTGGGAGGAGGCGTAAGGAAAGGGAGGAGTGGTAAAACCGGAGGTAAAACCGGAGGCAAAACCGGAGGCCCCAGGTGAAGACATTGCAGCAGATGGGGATGCCTTTCCGCTCTCCCTCCCCTTTCCTTCCCCTCCCCGAACCTCCGCCCGAGCCTCTCCCCTAGGCTTGGGACACACCACGAGCGGAACTGGCCGATTCGGGTCAACAGGTATTCGTGTGGGCGCATCAAAGATGATTCTGGGAAGCTTCCCTGCAGGGCCATAGTACTCTACAGGGGGTAGGGAGGGGATATACCCTGACTTGACAATAGCCGCAGGAGATGATGATGACGATGATGTCAGCACGGGGCTGCTGGTGACGTCATCATCACCAGCCCTGCTCGTGTCAGTGTCATTGATTTTGTCTCGGCCCCCCTGCTCGTTTCTTCTTCCCACTTCTCCCTGCGCCTCCCTCTTCCCCTCCCTCTTCTCCTGCCGCTTTCCCTCCTCCTGACCTTCCTCCACTGGGTCATAAGCAGTCTGGAAGGCAGGAAAGAGAGGCTCCGCAGCAGCAGGAACACGAGGAGCAGGAGTAGGTACAGCAGCAACAGCAGGACCAGGTGCAGCAGCAGCAGAAGCAGGGACTACGACTGCTGGCAGACCAAGATCAGAAAAGTCCCCAAACCCATCGAATCCACCAGCACCACCAGCAGCACCACCAGCACCAGCAGTAGCACCAGCAATATCAGCAGAACCAGAATATTCTTCCCCGGAGGCAACAGGGGGGACCGAGAGACTTTCGAGGAAGCTCAAGTCATGAGCCGTCTCTGCTGCAGCAGAGGCACCACTCGCTTGGGTGCTGGCTACAGGGCCTGTGCCTGCTGCACCAAACAGCAGCAGCAGCAGCATCAGCAGCACCAGCAGCAGCAGTACCCACAGCACCTGCAGCACCACCACCAGCAGTAGCACCCACCGCACCTGCATTGGCAGCAGCACCCACAGCACCTGCATCGGCAGCAGTAGCAGGGGAAGAGCTAGTGTGTTGGACCAGAGGGTCTCCCAAAAGGTCCATGAGAGGAGGCACCGCAGAGTCAGTCCGTTCAGTGTGGACGAGGGTACTGTTTAGGGATATATTAAAGGGGTCCTGTGACAATAACGAGGGGTGCTGTGACGGTACCGAGGGGGGCTGTGACGATATCGAGGTCCAGAAGGGGTCTGATGCAAGCTCTGGGTCTGGAGGCAAGCTGGGAGCATCAAATCCCAATGATGGTGATGAGGATGCCACAAACGGGGATGAGTTGAATCCAAAGATATCGTCCTGCTGCAAACTGACTTGCTGCTGGAACAGCTGGTTTGTCGCTGAAAAGCTGGTACTGGTGTCTTTTGAATGGATGCTACTACTGGTAACTCCTAGTGGAATGTTGTCTAGAAAAGCAAACGGATCCGCAGTGGTTTCTGTCCCGTCCCTCTTTTTCCCTGCTGCTTCTGCTGCTGTTCCTGCTGCTACTGGTGCTGTTGTTGAGGCAGCAGCAATAGGAACCTTTGCTGTTGACGTGGCAGGATGTGCTGTTCCGGCTACAGCGGTTCCTATCGCTCCCCCAACGCCAGAAGTCCCGTGCACCGCTCGAAGAAAACCCATGGCTAGCTGTGCCGCTGCCAAAGGATCAACTTGTGACTGTAAGTGGGGCTCGGTTCCACTAGCGAATGTGCCTGTACCGAGTCCGCTAGTTGTGCTCGGTGACAATGCATTAGATCGTTTTCCGTTGGAAAATCTTGTTGAACTAGGATCGGAAGAACCAAAGGCGTCTGCAGCAGCAAAAGGCGATGTGCTTGTAGCGAAAGCGCTGCTCGCAGCAGAGGCTGTGGATGTGACTGAAGAGGAGGCTGAAGCGGATGAGCTCACTCCAGCCCAAGAATCAAGCCAATCCTCAGGGATTGCCGAGGAACGCGCGGAATCTGCGGTGCTGATATTCGTTGTACTTCTCGTGTCCGTGACCCTGGTACTATCGCTGGTGCCGGTGTGCTTCTTAACGGGTATAAGAGTCTCGGATGGCAATGAGAACGGGTTGACTGGCAGTTGCGTGCCTGTGGGCTTCTTCCTGCCTCCAGCAACAAACGGCAGAGCGTCTTCGCCGGTGGCGAACGGATTCTCATCAAAGCCGTCCATTTCTGTGACTCTGAAACAGATTATTGTCGTTTTAGGTCTACGCGAGTAGAAAGGGTTCTGTGCCGAGTCACCGCTGCGAGTGCAGAGCCATACTGTCGCATGATTGAATAGTCTTCCTGTGACATTCACAGGCCAGGGTAGCTATGGTGGGACAAGGTTGCTCTCCACATTCTGTTGTGGAGGTATTCTAACGCTCGCCTGCTCCTACTATCTGCCTGTTTTGGCAGAAATTTTCGAGGGGGTTGTGTTTTTACTGGCTCACTCGTTATAGAACCAATCATTATTGCGGAGGATTAGCAAGTGAAACCTCATCATAAGAATATATCATTAACTGTACACTGTGCTTGAATATATTCAACGCATGAAGTCCTTCGCCTTGTAATGGAACACCGACTGATCCATAACATTCATGAAACATTGGGAGTTCCGACGTGGATTTTGTACCACGTGGCTCTGACTGGTTCGTGGTCGTCATTACCTTTTGCTTCGTTGCGGAACACAATCCCACACCACGGGGGTTGGGGGTGTTTGCGCGCACCCCCTGCGGGAGGATCTCCTGGCTCTGCTCCGGTACAGTCTACGGTCCGCGCCAAGCTTGTGGCTCGCTTTGCTGGTGATGGCGCAACGCGATGCGCACATTACGCTGGCGGCGGAACCAAGGGATGCAGCCGCGGGAACCGTCTGCAGCACACACTGAAGCTCCTATGGAGCTCCATCCTCCAAGCCACAAACTCTCATCAAGCACCTTGATCAAGCTGCTGGACATTAGCCTTCTGGAGCTAGCGGCATAAGTGGCGACATCCTTCATTTTGGGGAGATTTTCCTCAGCTCGAACGTCTCAGCTGTTCCGTTTCCCAAAATTTACAGGATGTCGTCCAGCACTGCCATCTCCCACGTCTCTGCGACCCTCGCCTCGCTGAGACTAGCTTCCACAAGCGCACGTGTCCAGTCGTTCAGGCAGTCTTCTTTCGGTACGCAGTCTTCCAGCTCCTACTCTCCTACTGCTTACCTTCCTTTAGTGCAGCTCCGCTTGCAGGGAGTTTGGGAAGCGGTTTTGGAAGTGAGAGAGGGATGGTAATGGTCATAATTATATCACATTGGTTCGCAAGTTTCTATATGCGTTTTTCTCTCCTTCCTTTTCTTCCCATATATGCAGTGCGTTCGGCCGCACTGAAGCAGCGCCTGGGCGCTAAAGTTGGCGCTGGATCGCGAGTCTCGGCGTGGTTCAAATTCGGCAAGAACGGCCTCGATGCGGAGTCGTCGGGTATCTACGGCAGTCAAGGGCGGGACGACTTCGACAGAGACGACGTGGAACACGTAAGCGTACCTTTTGCGGCAATTCTTTTCACAACAAATAAGGTTCTTGATTTGGAAGTGGAATGAAGAAGCTTACAGTTTAGTCAGCCATCGGTCCTTCCAGGTTAAAAAATGCTGGCGACATGGCAATAAGCTGGAGTGGGAGAAAGCATTCTATGGGAGAATCAGGACCTTTGAAGAGTGGACACGATTAGGGAGGAAATGTCTGTGCTGGAATCGTGGGTAAGCGTGGCCGTGGGCTTAGTGGTGTTAGAGAGTCAGGGGAAAGTGAAAAAATACCTATCCTAAAACAGAAGCTTCCAGTTAGCTGATTGGCGGGACAAATTCACGTCTCATTGTCTCTCAGGCACTGCCAAACTCTTCACTCCTGAAATCTGATAAATTCTGTCATTCGTTTCCTTGTGCATTTGTGTTTCTATGGCAGTACTACAACTACATGGGTATGCTGGCAGTGGAGGGCACATACGATAAGATGGAGAAGCTCCTGAACACGGGCATTCACCCTGTGGACCTTCTCCTCATGATGGCCGCTTCTGAGGGTGATAAGCCGAAAATCCAGGAGTTGCTCCGTGCTGGTGCAAACGCCAATGTAAAGGATATGGATGGGAGGACTGCACTCGATAGGGCAGCTGACGATGAGATTAGGCAGCTTATTGCTGATGGTGCCAAGCAAGTAGCATGAAAGCATGCCTTTTAAAGGTCTCCACATTCTTCTACACGTGGGAATTAGACGATACATTTGTTCGTCAATAATAAGCCTGTTTAGCTGGCTAATCCAGCACTGAATTGAATCAAAAAAAGGGGCGTCAGGGATTTTGTTCGGCATTGCATGTTTAGTATTGGAACTGAAAACTACATGGCAAATCTATATGTGCTTTGGTTTGGTTCAGATTGCAAACTATGTTTCATATTGAAACATGCCATGTCTTTTACATATCCACTCAGTTTTTAGCATAGTACCCTCAGCGCCGAATAACTTCAATGCGGTTTCCCTGTCAATTTTGTTCTCGCAAAAGGTCAACGAAGGACGAAAGTATATCGTCCTGTCTGAACGGTTGCCGTCCATTCCGTCTCTGTGTGTCCACCGAACGGCGGAGATATGTTTCGGCTGTCGCACGAATATCCGTGTGGTGCAGATGGGGTTGCTGCTGGTCGTTGGGCTCGTTGGGGTCAGGCGTGAGGTCCCTTGTTGCCCCCATCCTCCTCATCCTCCACACGTCACACGGCACTCCGCGCGCAGCCCTCGCATCACAAAACCACATCCCGCGCGCGTAGGCGGACAATCCCCCCAGACCCCAGCCCTGCCCCCTTGACAGTTGGGTTGAGAGGTGCGCGCAATCCGCACTGGGCGCCAGCTGCCGCTCCATGGGGCGCAAAGCTTTCGGTGCTTGTCGCAGGCGTTTTGCCCCTAACGCTCCACAAGTCTTGCGCGCTGTGCCCGCAGTCCCCTCATCCCTATCAACCCAATCATCCCAATGTTGTGCCCATCCACCCAGCCTGCCAACCTTCACCTAGTCCTCCATTTTCAGCCCTATCCGCATTTCTGGAACTCAGCTAGATTGAGCGTGTCTAGCTAGCTGGGAGCTGTCTTTTCGTCCGGCTGTGGTCATTGACCTTTAGGTGATTGCCGGCAAGCTGTCAAATTTCTACATCTCCCAATCTCTTTGAAGCAGAGGAACATTTTTTTTGGGGCTAGTAAAGCTAGTCAAACTGGCGAGCCAAAGCAGTAGCAGTAAGATGGCCACAAAGGTGGAACCTCCGGTGGGGACTTGTCCACCGGGGAAGCACCAGTTCATGCTGTGGCGAACGCTGTTCGAGATAGACGCCAAGTACACTCCGATCAAGCCTATTGGGAAGGGAGCTTACGGTGTTGTGTGCTCAGCGAGAAACGCAGACACAGGGGAGAAAGTGGCCATTAAGAAAATCAGCAATGCATTCGAGAATGCTACTGATGCTCGTCGCACTCTCCGTGAAATTAGGCTTCTTCGGCATCTGTACCATGAGAACATCATCGCAGTGAAGGACATTATGCCTCCTCCGGACAGGTTCACTTTCAATGACGTGTATGTCGTGTATGAGCTCATGGATACAGACCTTCACCAGATCATCCGGTCATCCCAGGCGCTGACAGACGACCACTGCCAATACTTTATCTATCAGGTATTTGTTCGATTTTTAGCATTTGGTCCAATTCAAGTTCAATGTCGCTTGCTCATCATTCATTTCTGCCATGCAGTCTGCTTTTATGGATATCATCTGCAATTTGAGTTTCGAACTTATGATTTTGCGACATAAGAAGAAAGAAGCTCCTGGAGTACAATTCCTTTTTGCATGTAAAATGTTTTTTTTGCGACAAATAAGCTCCTACTTTACAACTCCCTTTTTATCGCCTTTTTTTCACAGCTTCTCCGTGGACTCAAGTATGTCCATACGGCCAATGTGCTGCATCGAGATCTCAAGCCCAGCAACCTCCTCCTCAACGCCAGTTGCGACCTCAAGATTTGCGATTTTGGTCTTGCTCGCACGGGAAGCGAGAAGGGCTTCATGACAGAGTATGTCGTGACTCGGTGGTACCGTGCTCCCGAGCTGCTGCTTTCCTGCGACGAGTACACTTTCGCCATTGACATGTGGTCCGTTGGCTGCATCTTCGCGGAGCTTCTGGGACGGAAGCCGCTTTTCCCTGGAAAGGATTACATCCATCAGCTGAAGCTGATCATCAACCTGATTGGTTCGCCTGACGAAGACGACCTTCATTTCATTTCCAGCCAAAAAGCTCGCAGCTACATCCGTTCGTTGCCGTACACTCCCAGAGTCTCGCTCTCTCGCCTTTACCCCAGGGCCAATCCCCTGGCCATTAACCTGATTGAGCGGATGCTTGTATTTGACCCAAACAAGCGTATCACCGTGGAGGAGGCTCTGGAGCATCCGTATCTGTCCATGCTTCATGATCCTGCTGTGGAGCCGTCTGCTCCGGCGCCGTTTGAGTTCGACTTTGAGGATGAGGATCTGAAGGAGGCGGCGTTGCGTGAAAAGGTATGGCAAGAGATGCTGTACTACCATCCAGAGGTGGTCAGCAACAGCTAGATGAAGTCGCGGAAGCAGGAGTAAACACTGGGAAGGTAATTCGGGGTATGGTAGCAGTGTGGAAAGGAGAGCGGGGAGCAAGAACTTGAATTGGGAAATTTGGGGGGATGGGTTGTGTCGTAGGGTGAAGGGATTGGAGTGTTTGGGTGGAAAGTCAGTTGCATGGCTGGCTTAGTGCACTGCTCAGTCCGAAAGCGCAGAGATGGGGCATATGCTCGTGCTTCTGGGAGGCATGGGGTCGGGTTGAGTGGAATGTTTGGTGGTAATGTCGGGATGAATGGGTGATGGAGGAAGGCCGGTAGTTCAAGTCGTTTCCTTTTTGGCTTGGAAAAACTGAGTAGAGTTTGGAATTGGGGATGGCGTTATCAAGTGCAGGGTATGCGAGCCACCTTTTAGCAGCAAGTCATGGACACGGTTTTATTTTGGTCGGAGGGAAGTGCAGGGCTAGGTTGGATCAGGTTGTGTGTCCTGGCCTAGTACCTGTGGAGGTTCTCTTGCATCTTTCCCAATGGCGGTGGCGGTGTTCTTCATCTCCTTTTTTACCAAAGGATGACTGTTCTTAGCAACAGAAATAGCATAATAGTTCATTTATGCCCATTATTAACTGCCAATTTGTTTATCCTTATCGCCACTTCAGAATGCAAATGAGATGTCTTAACAATTAAGTGGAGCTGTGAACAACCTAGGCTGGTAACATGCTTGTTGTGGTGTTCATATGGCACATGCTAAATGGATGTGTCCTGATTTTCATCTTGTAATTCTGAACACCACATATAGCACATGTCAAGCTTTCCCCACAACATGAAGCAATTCTGGCTGGAATAGTTTTGTTTGGCGTGTAGGCGTTCCCAACTCTTTGATACTGCCTGTTTGTACTCTTTACAGGCTTCCTCCTCACATCTTGTCTCTGTCCTTGGATCCTTGCCTCTTAGGGCGTATTCGTAACCCGTGTCAGACACAAAGCTAGACACGAAGTGGAGGTTCGGAAAACCCGAAGTGGTTCGTTTGTGGGGAGATTGGAAGTTCGGAAGAGACAAATTGGAGACTAAGGGCTGATGACTTCAGGTCTGACACGGGATACGAATGCACCCTTAGGTCATCACACTCGTTCCTCCCGTTTCTTGAAATCTGGTCGCATGGCAATGCCTGACAAAAAGCTTAAAGCGACGGTGCACATTTGCCACCCAAAACCCAGAACCCTGGCGAACTGTTACTGCAGATGAAAAGTGTCTGCACGAAATCCTGGTTTTCGCCAGCCAACACTTTCGCGCTGGCAAGCCTGGTTCAAAAAAAAAACTTCTGAACCCAACACTGCCAAAAGTTGCCCGTCGCTTTAAGTGATTTTCTCGTGTCATCTCGCAATTATACCTCGCGCGGTTCCGCCTTTCTTTGGCGTCGCTAGTGTTTTTAAGATCGCACACTGACATTGCGCGTATAGAATCTGGGTGTCACCTTCGATTCCGTGCTTCCATCACGTATTAGCTGAGCCAGAAACTTTTTTTTTTTGGTTAATTTTAACAAATTCTTTTTTTCAAGAGCAACAAGTTTTTTGAGGAGCCGGCTTAAATGATTGGACTCAAGAACATCTCATTTGTCAGCAAGACATTTATTGGCTTGTCCTCCACCATTTAAGTTCATTCTAGATTGGAAGCTGAGTGAAGGAAGATGGGTGCTGGCCGAAAGACCACGACGTATCAGTATGACACGGCAAACCAAAGGAGAGGGGGAGGCGGAAGCAGCCATCAGCGCGTTCAGTTCCGCCTGTTGCCGCGGGAGCAGCTGGCGGGGTGCGTGTTCGGATGCACCAAGGAGACTTTTTCGGAATGTGTCACAAAAGAGCTATTCGGTGAGTGTACTTACAGCGAGTAACTAGAAGCTCAACAGAGAAACGAGTGTGTGAAAATGTTACTCTTCGATCCGGTCATTTACCCCTTGCTCTCAGGCCAGCCCTACAATCACATGGAGCACGTTCAGAACATCACTTTCGGCATGCCTCTCTTTTTCTTGGATGAATTCTGGCAGTGTACGTGATCTCACTTCTCTCACCCAATTCTCCCCCCTCAGGCCTTCCCTACAACCACATGGAGTACGTTCAGAACATCAAACCCGGCATGCCACTCTTCCTTTTCAACCACTTGTTTCCCTCATCACACCTCATCTCATCTTCTCTCCCTCCCTCCTCCTTTCCCTCCCCTCCCAGGCCTGCCCTACAACCACATGGAGTACGTTCAGAACATCAAACCCGGCATGCCTCTCTTCCTCTTCAACTACTCGGATCGCCGTCTGCACGGGATCTTCGAGGCAGTGAGCCATGGGGATTTGGAGATTGATCCCCACGGGTGGACAGGCAAGAATGGCGGCGAGACACGGTTCCCCGCCCAGGTACTCTTCTTGCTCTCTCTACTGCTATTGAGACGTTTACAGCTCAGACCAGGTTTCCCGCCGAGGAACCCCACTGCCTTTGACACTCGTGAGAGGGTTTCAATTCACGTTCCTTTTCCCGATACCCTTCACTCTCTACTGGTATTGAGACGTTTACGCTCCCCCTCCCCTTTCCCCTCCTTTCCAGGTGAAGGTTCGTCTGCGCCACAGGTGTTCTTCCCTCCCCGAGACCGCTTACGGCCCGGCCCTATCAGCCAACTACTACTCCCCCACGCACTTCATGTTCGAATTAGACCACCAGCAGACCCACCTGCTTCACGATTCAACCTGCCTTCTCTCCTTTCTACCTTGCACTCTCTTGCCCCTGTTCCCTCCCCTTTCCCCTCCTTTTCAGGTGAAGGTTCGTCTGCGCCACAAGTTCTCTCCCCTCCCTGAGTCGACCTACGGCCCGGCCCTATCAGCCAACTACTACTCCCCCACGCACTTCTTTTTCGAGCTTGACCACCAGCAGACCCAGAAGCTCCTTGCACTGTACTGCAAGCACAACCCTGCTGCTGGCCCTTCCCGCCCTAGCATGGCCCTTGGTTCGGCCCAAAAATCCGCCCTCACTCAGCCACCGACCGGATTTCCCTCTCATCCCTCTCATCCTCCTCTTCATCCGCCTCTGAATCCCCTTCCTCCTGCCACTGCCTCGCCACACAAGCCCCTTCCCCTCCCCCGCCCCTCCTCTTCTTCCTCCTCCAATTCCTCCTCCTCTGCCGCTTCTTCCTCCCAACCGCCCTGGCATTCTTCTGCTGCTCCTCCAGCACCTCATTCCGGACCTCATGCCGGGCCATTTAAGCCATCCGGATCTGGTTGCTCATCTGATTCCGGACCTCCATCCAGGTCTGGATCTTGGAACCGCCCCGAACCTCGACCTGGGCCCGGATCCTGGTCTGGTTCCGAGCCTCCGTCCAAGCCTGGACCATCAATCGGCCCGAAGTTTCCTGCCGGACCTAGCCCCGGATCTGGACACGGGCCTGGTCCATGGATTGGGCCTAAAGCAGGAGGGAACACCACAGCCCGTGACCCCTGGGTTTCATCCTCTCCCGGTCCTGCGCAGTCAACCCAAGTCAACGCGTCTTCTGTGCCTTGGGTTTCATCTGCTCCCAGCTCCAGTGGGTCAACCAAAGTCAACGCTCCTGCTGTGCCTTGGGTTACATCTTCTCCTGTCAAAGATTCGATGGGAAAGGAAGGATTCAAAGGGAAAGGAAAGGCATGCGGTGAAAAGCCGACAGGTAAACCCGATGACCTTATCGTTCCCAAGCCTCGCCCTAAAACAGGATCGGCACCAGCTTCGGCGGCGATCCGAGCCTGGCTGCAGCCCTCCAGTGGTGGCAGTGGTAATTCTGGTACGAACAAGGACCCGAAGCTGCCTAACGTTTCAACCACGTCAGCAACACCAGCAGTAGCGTCGTCAACAGCGGCAGCAGTACCGTCAGCTGTAACAGCATCATCATCACCAGCAGCAGCACCAGCAACATCAGCTGCAGATGATAGTGATGGTGAAAACAGTGGCAGTGGTTACAGTGATGGTGGTGATACAAGTGGTAGTTATAGTGGTAGTGCTGGTGCTGCTGCTTCAAGTGGTGGGGACGGGGATAAGGCAGCGTCCAATGTAGCACATGTTTCTGGGGCGAAAAAGGAGGACTTGGGACAGAAAAAGGAGGAACCAGGACCGGATGATGTGGCTGCAGATGCAGCGATCATGACCAAAGGGACAGCAGTTGTGCCACCTGCAACAACAACAACAAAAGCTGTATTGCCTGCAGCAGCACCAGCTGTGTTGCCTGCAGCAGCACCAGCTGTGTTGCCTGCAGCAGCAGCAGCTGTATCACCTGCAGCAGCAACAGCGGTGCCACCAGCATCAGCAACAACTCCTCTCCCATCATCAGCAGCAGCAGCAGCAGCAGCATTAGCAGTAGCGTCACCAACACCACCAGCATCATCAGCACCACCAGCAGCGACACCACCACCAGCACCAGCAGCACAAGCATCACCACCAGTAGCACCAGCATCACCATCCTTACCAGCGGCAACACCAGAGGCAAACAGCTCTGCAGCAACAGCCCCAATGGCATACTATGCTCTCGCCTATCCCCCCACCCAATACCCTGGTGCCCCCGGCAGTTTCCCTTACCCGTATTCCATGCCCGTGCCCATGCCCATGACTATGCCACTGTCTTTGCCCTTGCCCATGCCTATGCCGATGCCCATGGCTGGTGCAGGGGCTGCTGGCTATGCTGGTAGCTACCCTCCTCCCCCTTCCGGAGCAGCAGCAGCAGCAGCAGCAAGAGCAACAGCAGCAGCAGGAATGGTGGGCACAGGCGTCAATGCAAGCACAGATGCAGCCTCAGCTGCAGCATCCGTACCACCAACAGGAGCAGCAGCAGCAGCAACAGCAGCAGGAGCAGCAGCAGCAGCAAGCTCAGCTTAAGCAGTGGGAGCAAGAACAGCAGCAGCAAGAGCAGCAGAAGCAACAACAGCAGGAGGCAGTAGCAGCAGCAAGAGCAGTGGACGCAAACGCAATGGCAGGTCTAGCAGCAACAGTGCAGCAAAGCCTTGCAATGGTAACCAGTGCCATGCAGCAGTGGGCTCAGGAGCGGGCACAGCTGCGCGCATCACTGGAGCAGATACAGGCTGAGCTGGTGCAGGTGAAGGCGGCAAGGGAGGAGGATCGGGCAGAGATTGGGAGGTTGCGAGGAGAGGTGGTGAGGCTGCAAGGGGATGGTTTGACATTGAAGCAGCTGCAGGCAGAGTTTGGTCGGCTGCAGGCGAAACAGGTCAGTCAGTGGGGGGTGGGCGCGGGTTTGGCTGTGTTATGGGAGGGGAATAAGGGAGATGTGGGCGGTTGCAAGGAGAGGTGGTGAGGATGCAGGCAGATGGTTTGGCGCTGAGGCAGCTTCAGACAAAGTTTGCTCGTCTGCAGGCGGAACAGGTGATTGTATATGAGGGAGGAGGGCAAGGATCGCATATTTTCATGTCTTCACTGCGCTTCATGCAATTATCCCTGTGGCCTGTGTTGTGGTTTCTATTGATGCTTGCCTGTTTCTCCAGATGGCAGTGGCGCCAACTATCGTGCGAGAACTTGCGTCGGACCATTATCTAATTGGTCGAGAAGAATTGAAAGAGCAAGGAATATCAGGAGATTCAAAACAAGATGAAGGTTCTTGTCAACAAGAAACAAGTGGAAGTACACCAGTTGCAGATTGGGCAGAGGAGACTGGGTAATTTGTTTGCTGAGATTCCAAACTTCTGATGTAGCTGGCGAATGTTAACAACGCGTATGCAGTTCCCACTTTCCAGAGATTTGCAAAATGGTGCGTCGGTCTGCTCCAAACTCGTCAGCAAATGGACTGAAGTCGAAGCCAGGTTCGGTTTCTCCATCTGCCAATCCCCGAGCTCCCTTCAGTGCTTCGGCCGAGGTGCGTGCCCCATCAAACAAGGGGCAGCCACAAATGTTCCCCATCCCCTGGCGCTTTTCCTTACGTGGAACCTCTTTTCCTGAAAACTGGGCCTGCTGTTCGCGAAGCTGATTCTACGTCGCTGAAGGTTCGCGTGTTCATTCGCTGAAGTATCGTGGCAGATACGTGTATTTGACACTCTCAAAGTAACATATCGCAAATGTTCGTGAGTGTATGAACCTCTGAACCAAATGCGTACAATTCGTGCTTCGTTCTGAATTCTTTGTTTTGTGCTTCACTTCTGTATCTGTTGCTAATTTTGTTTCTTCGAGTGAAATCCGCCAAGTTAGCTTGTTCTTTCACCATCTCAGGTACCTTCGCCGCTTTTATCTTGCGATCTCCAAGTTATTACGGTTTCTGAAGATCGTGTAGTGAAAAGCCTCCTGCCTTCTGTGGTTGTTAATATAGTCTACGTGTTCGCTTTTCCCAGTACTACCGCTAGCGACGATATCCAACATGGCTGCTTGTTTGAGGGCAGGGGCTTTGGCAGCCGGTCAGGTCGGTCGACTATCGACCAGCTTGACCGGAAGTTTTGCTGGGAATTCAGTATCGTTTCGTTCTTCTTCTGGACCAACGCTTCGCCATCGAAAGGTGCACGGCGTTCGAGCTGTAGCCGAGGTAAGTCATTTTCCCTTCGACTACTTGTTCTGGTGTTTTGAGAGAGAGAGAAAAAAAGGAGCATTAGAAGAACTTCAGTTTACAGTTGAGAGGGTGAGCCTTCAACCTGCGTCTTCAAACCGATCTCCATCTTCAGGATAATAAGGTCAAGGAGGAGCTCCAGAAGATCGCATCTGAAGCATCCAAGAAACTCCAGAAGATTACTGAAGACGCTTCGCACGTCTTAGAAGACGCTGCTCATGCCATTGAAGACAAAGTTAAGCTTCCAACCCCCGTTGAGCTGCAAGAGCTTCAGGTGCAAACCCAGCAAGCAGCAGCAGAGGTGAAGCATAAGGCCGAGATTCTGGCGGAGCAGCTTAAAGTCCAAGCTGAGAAGGCAAAGGTGCAGATTAAGGAGCAGGCGGAGAAAGCGTCGAATCAGATAGAAGAAGCGCTGCATCACGTGGAGGAGAATAAGGAGCAGATTGTTGCTGTAGCTAAGGACGCTCCAGAACCTATCAGGGAGATTGTGGAGACGGCGGTTTCATCACATTCGAAGGACGCTGTAAGGAGAGGGGCGGTGATCCATGACTTCTGTCTGGGAATTCCATATGGTGGGTCTCAATTTCAATCACAGCCACCATGAGTCACTGAGTATTGACTATTTTGTCTTGTCTTGTTGTCTTTTTTTGCTATTATCGCAAAAGGTTCACATGGGCCGGTTCTCTTCGAAACTGCCTTTCTGTTTGTCTTCAGGTGCCCTGCTGGTGATTGGAGGGATAACCTGGTTCACTCTGGCAGGGAGCGTCAACGCCCTTCGATTTGGCATGATCGTTGGGGGTATTATCCTCGCGTGTAGCATCTCCAGCCTCCGTGCGTGGCAGAATCACCGTCCTTCTGCACTGTACATTGCTATTCAAGGAGGTGAGTTACTCATATTTCTGTCAAGTGTCTTTCATGGCATTCAAGCTTTTCCAGTCGTGTGGCGTTTCTCTTCCAGCGCAAGTAGAGCAGCACGAGCAGAAAAGCTCAATAGTTTACTAAGCAGTCGTCGTCATTTTGTTCAAACTTTCCATTCCTTCACTCACTCCCAGCTCCTCTTTTAACTCATATGCTTTGTTCTTTTCCTTCTCCCTGCAGTGCTTTCAAGCTTTGTGTTCATTAATGAAGCAACTCGCTTCGCTGTGGTAAGCCCTTGCTTTTGGTTTTTTCCTCCCTTGCCCTTTTTGTGCTCATTCCGTGGCCTTGAATTTGGTGAAGCATGCATTTGAAATACCGGTACAACCTTGGGTGCTTTGGCAGTGATACATGCTTACTGACGAATACGTCCATTCAGCACTTGCTTCCTTTTTTCCATCCAAGTTATCTAACACGCTGGTCCGTATACCTGTTTGTCTGTGTTGATGTGCTCATTTATCAGACCAAGGCTCTCTTCCCAACTGGCGTGGCTGCACTTGCAAGGTATGCCATACTGAGTCGCCTCCACTGCGCATGTTGGTGCACTTTTGTAACTTTGCTGTCTTGTTTGGACGTACTGCACAGTACCATGGTCTACTACCGTATCTTGGATCACAAATCCAATTTACGCTGCTGTTGCTTTCTGTCACTGTTCGTTTTTGTTGTCAACATGCTTCCCTCTCTGGCTGTGTGCTTGCTCCCTCATGCAGTATTTTCATGGTGGCCTTCTACACATACATTTTCATGTCTGGAGGAAACCGACCGAAGGCACAAACATCAAGTCTCGCATAGCCTGGTAGTGGCGAAACATCGCGCCGAACATAGTCAGTTTTGCAGCATTTGGGTTGTCACTGAACTTTACAACTCAATACACCGTCACATTTGGAAAATACCGCCAAAAGGGTTCAGTCTTTGTATGTTCTGGATGTTTAATGTTTGTACTGTAGTAGACATTGCAACAAAAACACACACTGCTCAGGATTTAATAATCTAGAAGTCTGCTGCTACAGTAAGAAGGATGTATCATGTGATTCTTGCTAAACTATGTTCAAGCTGAAAATGTGGCATGAGTGTTGTTATATGTCAAAATGAAGAATGGATGATGCATTGATGTTGGTTGGGGTACATATAGCTAACCCTAAGTTTTGTACCCCCTAAGACAAACCTCACTATAGGCTACAACATTTGACACACCCCCATAGCCTAAGTGAGGGGTGTCTAGCAGAACCAAACGAGTACGGTCACAAGACCAGTCCAAGAAACGAAGCTCAGGGTGGATCACAACGTCACCACACAGTCTGAGCACAAACAACAGTGGCCACAAGGCCAGTCCAAGAAGTAACAGAGATATATAGAAAGCAAAGTAAACAGTACACTCAAGTCTAAGCAACACGAGAACCAGTGTCAACAAGGCCTAACTGCACACAGCACCTCTGGTGGTCACAAGGCGGAAGCGCCTTGGTGAAGATGTCTGCAGTGTTGGCCTCAGACTCCACAAACTCAAAGCGAGCCTGTCCACGCCTCTACAACTCTCGCAGAAGAAAGTACCTGACGTGAATGTGCTTCACTCTGCTCTCCAGTCGTGGCTCTCGACAAAGGAGAATAGACGCCTTGTTGTCAGTGAACAAGGTCGGTGCAGAGCTCGGCCGCTCACCAAGGTCGGTGAGCAAGAAGGTCAACCAACGCAGCTCCTGTGCCGCCATGGCACCAGCGTAGATCTCAGCCTCAGCTGTAGAGGTCGAGACCGAAGAGGAGCGCGTGGACCGCCAGGAAACAGCTCCAGAACCCAGGCTGAAACAGTACCCCTGAGTAGACCTGTGAGTCTCAGCGTCGTCAGCGTAAGAGGAGTCACAGTGACCAGTAAGTACGACAGACTGCTGCCCTCCAAGAACTAGCCCCACGCCTGATGTCGTCGCTAGGTACTTCGCCACCCTCACAGCTGCTGTCCAGTGAACAGGACGGTGTCTCCCTGGCGCAACAAAGCGCGCAAGAACGCTGAGAGGGAAGGCGAGGTCCGGGCGAGTACAAGTCATCAGGTACATGAGGCAACCCACAAGCTCTGCGTAGGGACCACTAGGCTCAAACGGCTTGTCAGGAAAGGGTCCAGTGAGTCTGTGGTCAACAGCAAGAGGTGTGCGCTGTACTGTGGAGTGCTGAAGCCCGAAGCGCTGAAAGACCTGCTGCACCATGTGTGACTGTGAAAGTGTAATGGTGCGAGCAGCTCTGTCCCTGGTGATCTGCAGGCCAAGGTAGTGGCGCAGCTCACCAAGGTCAGTGCAGGTGTGTCTCTTCTGCAGTTCGGACTTCACGTGTGCCAAAGCAACCCTGTCAGGGGTGGCGAAAACAAGGTCGTCAACGTAGACCAGAACAAAGAAAGGTGTGGGGCCACGACGAACGAACAGCGACGGGTCAGCAGAAGACGGCTGGAACCCAAGGTCAGACAGGGTAGAACGCAGGGTGTCGTGCCACTCACGAGGAGCCTGACGAAGACCGTAAACCGGTCGCCTCAGCCTCCACTGGGTCCCAGGAGGGAAAGAGCCAGTGAAGGCAGAGGGACGACGCAGCCAGACCTCCTCGTGAAGACTGCCCTGAAGGAAAGCAGTAGAGAAGTCGAGAGAGTGTAACTCGTAGTCTCTCTGTGCTGCTACGTGTAGTAACACCCGAAGAGTGGTCATCTTCGGGGTGGGCGCGAAGGTCTGAAAGAAGTCAACTCCCTCGCGCTGACTGAAACCTCTAGCCACGTAGCGCGCCTTGAAGACCGGGGGAGAACCCGGTGGCCGCTTCACCCTGTAGATCCACATGCCGTCGACTACGTTCGCCCCAAGGGGGGGAACCTCATCGATGTAGGTGCCTGTGGATCTGTAGGAGGCCATCTCTGCGTCCATGGCGGCTCTCCACTGAGAGGCCCAAGGCCCTGACACTGCCTCAGCGTAAGTGCGAGGAGTCGGAATGTCAAGGGCGTCGGGGTCACCCTCAGGGGCGAGGAGCATGGCACAGAGATGAGGGGAAGCGGCGGCCAGGAACTCTAGCTCGAACTGCCTGTCCTCTAGGGCGTCACAGCCAAGGGCAGACACACCCCCGACGGCCAGAGGACTGGAAGGAGGAGCAGCCACAAGAGCGGTGGCGAAGTCAAGGCGGCGGGTAGAGGCAAACTCAGTGACTGCGGCAGTAAGAGCGGACACAGAGGACACAGAGGCACGAGGGTGGGTAACAAGAGAGGCGAGAACACGAGAGAGAACAGGACGGTACGTGCGGTAGTAGTCAGTGACAGGAGTAGGAAGCGACGCAGTGAGGGCCGACTCAGGAGGAGACGGAAGCACAGACGGAGACGGACGAGGTGGACGAGAACAAAGGAAGGCTGTACGAAGGTCAGTGAAGGGAACAGGAGACGAGGGACGAGCACGAGGAGAGCGACGAGAGGCCCAAGTCTGAGAAGGAGGAGGAGACAACGAAGACTGAGAACGAGGGAAAACGGCAGGAGAGGGGTCAGGAGGAGGAAGCGGAGGACCAGAGACGGGAGGAGAGGGGGAGGAGGAAGGAGAGGGAGAGGGGAGACCAAGGGTCCGAAGACCCGAGACAGGAGGAGGAGATGGCAGCTGCTGCTGCTGCTGCTGCTGCTGCGGCTGCTGGGGCTGCTGCGGCTGCTGCTGCTCCAGCGGCTGCTGCCCCTGCTGCTGCTCCAGCGGCTGCTGCTCCTGCTGCTGTCGCTCCTGCTCCTCGAGCCGCTGCAACTCTCGCTCCTCTCTCTCCAACTCCAGCTGCTCCTCACGAGCACGGCGAACACGAGCCTGGAACCTGGTCGGGTAGGGGTGGGGGGAAGGAGTAGTGTCCGGGGCAGCGGCAGCCCCAGAGTCGACCTCCGAAGCACCAAGCACACCACCCCCAGAGGCAGCACCAACACCAGCTCCAGACCCAGGCTCTCCAGAAACCGAAGGGACACCCTCACCCCCAGACGCAGCACCCCCAGACTCCGCACCAGCACCCCCAGACTCCGCACGACCAGTACCAGCCCCCGGAAGACAAGAGTCCTCTGCAACCCGCGGCTCAGCTCCAACTCCAGCACCCCCAGAACCAGAGACCTGTACAGGGACAGTCGCAGGACCAACCTCCCGAGAGGGAGCACCTGCAGGAGGCGGCGAGGAAGACTGTGGGGAGGGAGGCTGTACAGGGGGGGCTACCGAAGGGGGAGGGCTAGCCTGAGACACACCAGACGGGGCTGGACCAGGGGGGGGAGGCTGTACCGGGGGAGCAGGCGGGGGAGCGGCGGTCAGGAAGAGAGGGGGGGGAGGGACCGGGAGACCTCGACTGGGGTACCTGACGTAGTAGGGGGTGGACTCCTCGAAACGGACGTCACGGGAGTCAAAGAACCGGTGAGAGGGAGGGTGGTAAATGCTGAAGTCAGAGGAGTCCTCAGGGAAACCAAGGAAGACACAAGGAACGGCGCGAGGCGAGAGCTTGTCCGCGGAGGTGTCGCGGACAAGAGCCAAGCACCCCCAGACACGAAACCTCGACGCGACACCAGGGGACCCTGTCCAAAGACTGGTCGGTGAAGCCTCCGGCCGAGAGACGCGTGGCCAGAGGTTCAGCTGGTGCGCGGCGTACCTGACCGCGTATGGCCACAGGAAATGGGGGGCACGGGCGTGAGTCAAGGAGGTGCGGGCAATCTCCATGACCAGGCCTATGCGACGCTCAGCAACCCCATTCTGCTGTGGGGACTCCGGAAGCGTCCAGGACTGACGAATGCCCTGTTCGCGACAGAATCCAGCGAGAATGCCGGAGCGAAACTCGCCCCCGCGGTCGGAGTGGAGACAGCTGACACGACGACCACGAGTGTCCTGGGTGGTAAGCAACCACCTGATCAGCGTAGAAGTCACCTCAGACTTCCTCGCCAGGGGGAACACTGTGGTGTAGCGGGAGTAGTCGTCAACGACCACCAAAAAGAAACGCTCACGCTCAGGGCCAGGGCGAGGAGAGGGGCCCCAGACGTCCAAGTGCAGCGTCTCAAAAGGCTCGGTGGCCGGACGAAGGGAGGAGGAGTGAGGGGTGGCGCGCAGCCTACCCTCGACGCAAGGACCGCACGGTGGTGCAAGGGACGGCGGCAGCGACGGCAAGACACGCGGGAGACCTAAGACAAGACGCTGACGAGACATAGCGCGAAGACGAGGAGGAGAAGGGTGCCCCAGCCGGTGGTGCCACAAAACGGTGGGGTGGGCAAGCGACCGACAGGAGCACGACGCAGCGACCGGACTAGACGGAGGAACCTGACAAGACACAGCTACCTGGGGGGACGGAGCAACCTGGTGAGACGCGAGGACTCGAACGGGGGGCAAAACAGGGGCCGGGGGCAGGAGGGGCGGCTGTGGCTGCGGCTGCGGCTGCTGCTGCTGCTGCTGCTGCGGCTGCTGCTGCTGCTGCTGCAGTCGCTGCTGAGCGCGCGGGCCAGTGTGAAGAGTGTAGAGACCGGAGCCCGGCTCAGCAGCAAAAGTGGCGAGGGGCTGGTAAGAGTCCCCGTCAACACACACCGCAGTCTCTCCAGAAGGCTCAAACCACACACCCACGTGCTGACTCACGAGGGGTCGCACGCCCACCAAGTTCCGGGAGAACGAGGGGACGTGAAACCCAGTGAGAGACCCAGAAGGAGCAGCCGGACACGGCAAGGTGGTAGTGTGACGCGCGGTGACTGGTCCCGAAGTGGGATCAGCCAGCGCCACAGAAACAGGCGCAGGAAGAGGCGTAAGTGTCGTGCTGTCACGAAAGAAGCAGTGAGAGGCTCCAGAGTCCAGCGTGAACGACAGCGAACCGTCCTCTGAGGTAGCCGCTGGACTAGAGTCTACACAAGAACCTACACTAGCAACAGGCAACTGAGCAAGGCTAGCACCTAAGCTAACAACACCAGAGTAAACAGAGTCAGAAACACTAGAGTCAACAACAGCATACATAGCATGGGGACTACCAATCAGATCAACTAACTGCTCAGCAGACATGCCCCACAGAGCGGAGCCGTAACGCTGAACAAGAGGCAGCCAGTCAGGGGCAGGAGCACCAACCCCGTAGACCAAACGAACCGTGTCAGTGAGCTGAGCAAAGCACTGACCAGGGGGGTGAAACCGGCCACAAGGGTGGCCACGACGAGTGCCTGTCAGAACCTGGTAGGTGCAGGGAGTGTAAGCAGCACCGCGCTGGGTCTGACGCAGCCCCGACCCTGGAGCCAGCTGCTGCCGCTGCTGCTGCTGAGGCTGCTGGGAGGAGAGGGGCTGCTGGTGCTGCAGAAGCTGCTGCTGACGCTGAGCCTGGTACCACGCCGCTGCTCCACCAACCGGGGCAGGAAGTACAGGAGGCGACTGACGAACTCGGGCGTCGCCACCACCAGCAGGCGCAGTGGAGTCACCAGTCACTGCACGAGGCGCCTCTCCAGGCCCTGAACCTCCACCGCCGCCAGGCGCAACGCCACCTCCACTACCTCCGCCTCCACCTCCACTACCACCACCAGAACCGCCTTTCTTGCCACTCCTACCGCGGGACCGCGACGCAGTCGTAACAGCAGCTGCAGTCGCGTCAGTAGCGGCAGTGGCAAGTGAGGCAGTAAAGGTGGGTAACTGCGGGACTGTGCACCCGTGGAAGAGTGGGGGGGGCACAGCACCAGAGGCAGCGGCTACCGAGCGAAGGTTGCTCTCGACGTCCTTGAGTGCAGACTCAAGGACCTCGACGGTGAGCTCACTAGGGTGCTTCAGCAGAAGCGCGTCGCGAACGGAGGCAAGGCGGTCAGGGAGGCTAGTGGCGATGAAATAGATAGTAATCGCCATAGGGGGAGGAAGCAGTGCAAGCTGTGCCTCAGAGCAAGCAGCGCGGTGCGAACCTGAGTGAAGTGAACCTCCTCAGACTCAGGGAGGAGGCTGCTGAGCGCGATGCAGGCCGCAGCGTCACGCGACGTCCAAGCCGTCTGGTCAGCTCGCTGAGTGGCAAAGCGGGCTCTAGCGGCGTCGTCAGGGGCAGGTCCTAAAGGCGTAGGGTCGGGGGGCGCAGGTAGGGCACCAGTAGCGTGCGCCCAGAGGGTCTCGCCTGCCTGGACCTGACTCTCTAACAGACGGCGAGCACGAAGAAGCCAGACGGAAAAATCAAGAGGTCTACCGTCAGCGTCGAAACGAAGGACACGCTGAGTCGCCATAGTGAAAACGAACGCGAACGGAGAGGGAGGGGACAGCAGTAGGTGAGAGGCAAATTAGGGTTCGGCGGTACTCTGGGACAGGGGAGGAGCGGACGCCACAGCGGGCGTGACAGCGGGAGGTAACAGGGGACTAAGCAGCGGGGAACGGGAACGGGCACAGCGGCGGGCGACGGCAGCGCGCTCGGCAGCAGGGGCCAGCAGCGCGCGCAGCGGGCGACGGCAGGGGGCGCAGCGGCGACGCGCGCAGCGGCGGGCGATGGCGGCGGGGCCGCGGCGAGGCGCGCAGGGGGCGGACGACGGCGGCGGGGGCGGGCGACGGCGGCAGGCGCGGCGGCGACGAGCGCGGTCGCGAGCGACAGTGGCGGGCGCTGCGGGGACGGGCAACGCGACGGGGGGAAAGGGGCGGGTGCGACGGGACAGGGGGAGGGCGACGCGACGGGGGGAAGGGGCGGGCGCGACGGGACAGGGGGAGGGCGACGCGACGGGGGGAAAGGGGGGGCGCGACGGGACAGGGGGAAGGCGACGCGACGGGGGGAAGGAGCGGACGCGACGCGACGGGGGGAGCGCGACGCGACAGGGGGAAAGGGGCGGGCGCGACTCGAGGGGGGGGAAGGCGACGCGACGGGGGGGCGGGCTACGCTACGAACGAGAGCGTGGCTCGTTACTAGGCTCGGTAACAGCTGGAACGATACGAACGAGAGCGTGGCTCGGCGCTAGGCTCGGTAACAACGAGAAGGAGACGAACGAGAGCTAGGATCAGGCTCGGGTGGTACGAACGGAGAACGGCGGAACGGGATCCCACAGGATCCTAACCTAACTGATACCATGTCAAAATGAAGAATGGATGATGCATTGATGTTGGTTGGGGTACATATAGCTAACCCTAAGTTTTGTACCCCCTAAGACAAACCTCATTATAGGCTACAACATTTGACATTATAATGGTTGTACTGTAGTAGATATTGCAACAAAAACACATACTGCTCAGGATTTTAGGGTTTAGGGTGTCTACTGCCATAGTAAGAAGGATGTATCATGTGATTGTTGCTAAACTGGGTTCAAGCTGAAAATGTGGCATGAGTAGATATTGCAACAAAAACACATACCGCTCAGGATTTTGTAATCTAGAAGTCTGCTGCCATAATAAGAAGGATGTATTATGCAACTCTTGCTAAATTATGTTCAAGCTGAAAATGTTATAATTTGCCACTTACGTGAACAAAAGTTGGCGCTAACCCTAAATGCGCTAAGGCACATGCTATTAGAATCAGTGCCATACAAGAATGAAGTGCGTTGCAGGAAAAAGACTAAGCCAAACTCCGCCTATATCAAAATAATTGGCAGCTCACGCAGTGAGCCCAAACACACGCAAGCACAGATGTTAGGAGAGAGCTAGCGCCAGCCAAGCTCGGGGTTAGTACAGTCAGTGTCAGTGACCGTCAGATGAATTCTTCAGAGGCACCGTCTAACGCTCAAGGCGACTCAGGCAACACCCTAGCCGTTACAGCTGGGCATCGGTATGATTCGACCTCTCGCGGCGGTGTCCGTACGCCCTTCTCGTACGCTGCTTGACACTCGTACGGATGCGTACGAGCCACATTGCCATGCGCACTCTTCAACATTGTGAGTGCTGACATGTCAATGAGGGAAGCTGCATCGAAGGCGACCTCTGACTGCCACAGCTCCGCTTCAAGCTTCTTGCAGTACGCGTAGAAGGCTTCCGTTGTAACGTTCATGCGGAAGTCCAGGCGGAAGAGTAGCTGCATCTCCAGACGGTTCATCTCGGCAGTTGTGACTCCGCCGACTTTGGCGTAGTACGCATTGTTGAAGTACCTGAACGGAGATGAAACGGAAAGTAGTAGACTTGGTGAGATGAGGCGTCATAGGTGCACATTGTTAGGCTGTACGGTCCGAACATTGAAGTTCAATCTACAGTGGCGCTTCAATCATCTCTGAGCACGATGCTGCGCTTTCATTTGTCTGCACCATTCTTCTTCTTTGTTATGTTCACAAAATTTGGCAGAAGTATCGCACACAGGCACTTACGAGTCATCGAGAAACTTCGCGGCGACCATGACGGATGTGATGAGCAGGCGATGCACATTGAGTGACGTCACCACCATGTCATCATGCCGCTCCACCATCTTCTCCACATAGATATACGCCAGCACGAAGCATGCAGGGCTGCAATTGGCGTACTTGAAGATCCTCTCCATGTACTTCTCGACACCGATGGCCGGGGCGCGCAGCCCGTGAAAAACGGTCAGCTTCTCTTCGCCACCCTTGGCTTGATTGGCCTCGTTTCGCTCCACGATTTGCTCGAAAATCGTCGCGAGGACAGAAAGAACGCGAGGCCTTTCGCAAATCAAGTTCGGATCGATCTCTAGAGTGGCGAGGCAGCTTGGAGCAGCCTTGGCCTGTGCGCTGAAAGACAGAGAACCTCCCTTGCCCATTTTGACTTAGACTGTTGCCTTGCGGAAGAAATGCGCCTGGTTTCAATTCACTACTGAAGCGTTCAAAAAATAGTGGAGTTCGACGGAAATGTAGCACCGAACGCCGATTGCTGGATCGAAAATAGGTTCGCACAGGGATGCTAAGTAATCAAGAAATACAGCACGCGAAGGAGTCTGCTGTGAAGATAAGATAGAGGCAATCGAGAAGGCGAAGGAAGAATTTACTACGGAAACGGAGCACGCGACGAGAGAAGGGCTCGGGGTGACTCGTGCAGAACTAGAGGCACACCTGAGCGAAATATGAGGATTAGACCGAATGATTGGTAAGCTTTTATTTCGTGCGAACGAGGATGAACGCGCAATGGCCGAAACAGCGAGCAAAGCGACTCTGCTCTGCTCCGCTTCTCGCTTCTCTGCCTCTTGCCCTCTCTGGTTGGCCCCCTCGGGGTCTCTGGCTCCCTGGCGTTGGCTCGCTCGTTCTCAGGCTCTGATTTCCTAGCTCGCTCTGGCAAACTGTGGCTGGGTCCCCCTCAACAACCCCCTCTCTGACATGGGGAATAGACGAGGGCTACCGCCATCCACGTGGAAAGCATCGGGGTAGACGCGAGTCGAGATCGACGTTCAAGAACGTTGCAGGGAATTACGTGTACAAAGGACGATCTTTTGGAAATAGGGAACATCGAAGATGTGAAATTGGTAGAGATGAAACGAATTTGGGGGCTGTGATTGGCCGGTTTGCATCATAGCTGGCCGCTTTATGTACAATGTGGCTCGCGGTGATGGGAAGAGGATGAGATGAAACGTAGGGAGTGTACGATGATGGAGGGCTGATTGGTCGGAAGGGAAGCGGGAGGGGTACTTGTACTAAGAGAATCGAGACTCGCGGCGACGGCATTTCAACGCAATTTGGAGATGAAACGAGGCGCATGTGTGTGATGCGATGAGATCGAGGCGCTGTTGTCAATCGACCCGCCAGTGTCCACTTTCGAAAATCTCTGCCTCGAACACGGGTTGGTCGCTTTGACACAGCCACCTCTGATTGGCTGACCTTGGTTTGCTGGTCCCACAGCGCCTACCCTTCCTTTCTTTCAGATGCTGGAGGAGGGGGAAGGGAAGGAAGTGACAGGCTGGCAGACTTTTCCGCCCTCCCTCTGGGCGACTCGCTTTTAGGGGAATGTTTTCGGGTTTGCCAGCAACGGCTGGTCTGCGACATGGCTAGAACGTGCCCAGCTGGTGCCTGCGCACCCTGAACAGGGTGCCGTTGGGTTCGCCAGCCATCCATTTCACTCCACAGCGTCTCGACGATGAAACGCAGTGACATCTTTCGTTCGCATTTGGGGAGCGTTTCACGCCCACGTGGCATGAACCGTGAGTTTCGCCATCGACCAACCCCAGAGCGAGTCGCCATGCTCTCTTTTAGAGCACAGCCTGCGTTAGAAGGAGGTGATCAGCGACCAGAGCACTGTTTCAACGACGACGGCGAAAACCTGGGGTTTGGCTTTGCGCCAGAAATCAGGGGAGCAAATTGTGCCAACGGACACGCAAATGTGAGGACGTGGTGTGAAAACGCCCGCGAAGCATTCGACCGCCGTTGACAAAAAACGACAGGCTGGACCAAAAAGAGCTTTTCGATGCTTTTGTGTCACTTCCCATAGAGAGACAACCCTGGACAAGCCAGACATGTGCATTACTAGAGATGTTCAGACAACTCAATATATCAGTATGCTCTTAGAGATAACCAGTTAAGATATTATTATTCACATTACATGAAACGTTTCAAGTGCAATGAATTGTGAACGGGTTCAACGAAACAAGGAAGAAATCAGATACATTGTTAAACGAAGGCGGTTATGGTACAATTTCCTTAGCCACCATTGAAGTTCATTTGGACAAATGTGGCTGGGTTTATTAGACTGGAAACAAAGAACACATTCATGGATGAAAATGCAGGGATAATGTGAAATCAAGTACTTTGTTATTTAATTTATTTATTTCTTTGGATAAAACAAATGCTACCTTACGCAAACCAAGGGAAAATATAGCACAAGGAGACAGGCCCTCTCCAAATTAGAGCCCCGAAGGCCCTCACATGGCGAGGCCACATGACGTTGCCTTATCTCATCTCTGACCCTTCCGTCGCTTACAGCAAGCATCCCACTTAGTCCGCCACATACTGTTCTCCACTGTCGTGAGTGGTGAAGAAATGCTGCGACGTTACATCACATGTTCACCCAGCTTCAAGATTGCTAACATAAACCCGCCTCCTCTCCCTTTCCGAGGAATCCTAGCTCTACAAGTCTAGGCAATCTACGCATTAGTGCACTCGACTACAGTAAGTGAGCCAGTGTATCTTGTCAAGATTGTATATGTAAGGGCGAGCGCAATCACTTGACGCGCCCATCCCCGTGTGCCGCCGTCTGCCATCATCCGTCAGCGATATCAGATTCTGTCAGAACGTTAACGCCGACCGTCAAGGAGACCCGTTCACGAGTGTTCTCGCACGCATCGACGGATACCGGTACGATTCCACCTCTCGAGGGGGCGTCCGAACGCCTTTTTGCACCTCCACGTGGCATGGCTGCACGCGTGCCAGGTGGCCTGGCGGCTTCAGCATGGATAACGAGTTGACGTCCAACGTGGCCTCGAAGGGAGGGCGGGAATTCCAAATCTCCGCTTCAAGCCGCTTGCAGTACGCGTAAAAGACGTCCGTTGTAATGTTCAAGCGGAAATCCATGCGGAATAGAAGTTCCATCTCCAGACGGTTCATCTCGGCTGTTGTAACGCCTCCGACCTTGGCGTAGTACGCGTTATTGAAGTACCTGTACGAGAGAGAGAGAGTAAAGAATTGTGGAGAAAGAAAATGATTTTGCGATGCAGAGCGATATAGCATGATGTAATTATGATTGAAGTTATCAGACAACGCTATGAGCACTGTATGCGGAGGCTGAATTTCCGAGGGGGCGAGAACAAGCATGGGATGACGGGCGCGAATGACAACTTGCGCCAAAAAAGCACGTTCGAGAGGTGGTTACCACTTACGAGTCATCGAGAAACTTCGCGGCGACCATGATGCAGGTGATGAGCAGGCGATGCACATTCAGCGACGTGATCACCATGTCGTCATGCTCTTGCAAGATACGGTCGATGTAAGCATACGCCACCACGAAGCACGCTGGACTGCAATTTGCGTACTTAAATATCCGCTCCAGGTACTTTTCCACGGTGATTGCCGGCGCGCGAAGCCCGTGAAAAACCGTCAACTTGCGGTTACCGGATTTCGCCTGTTTCGCCTCGTTACGCGACACCACGTGGTCGAGGATGCTGGAAAGAATTCCCAATATCCGGGGTCGCTCGGCTGTTGTGTCTGGCTCAATTTCGAGCGTCGAGAGGCCCGAGTAGCTCTTGGGCTGTGCGATCAGTGCAGGAGGGAGAGAACCACCTTTCCCCATAATTCCTGATTTGTAGTTGCTAATACTTCCAATGGTGCGGAAAAGGCTACCAAAGTCGAGTAAATTCTTTGTGATTAGCTAGCTCGTTAACACGAAGGACTACGTTGATGAAGGTTGAACATTCGAGCTTGTTGTTCGTGCTACGGGAATGTAATAAGAGGGAGATGCGAATGGGGATGACGATGCTGCAATGCGCGCGGCTTCCTTACGTCAATGGATAGCGATTGCTGTTGACAAGCATTGGTGGGCAAGAAGACGAGCTAAATTGTGAATGAGTTCAGAGGTCATGTGCGAGAGGGACAGCGGGAGGGAATTGTGGAAGCCGAATGAGGCCAGGGGAAACTAATATGATGCTGACGGACAGGCGGACATTTCGAAATCGAGATGCGGATTTTGATGTTTGACGGCGCCAGGTGTTCGTGTCGATCGCCCTCCCCATGATCGCTTCGGCGTTCGCGAAATTGAGTCGCCTCGCCTCGCCTCGCCTCGCTTCGCCCTTGCGCACATTGTGGTTTCCGCTTCAGCTGCCCCCCGCCCGAGAAAGGGTGTTCTTTCGACGCGAACCTCTCCGCACACGCGAATCGCTAGGAAAATAATTCGTGAGGGGCAGTCGTCCAAAGGGGACTGCTGGACTTTCGGCTGCCCGCACCAGGCCGTCATGGCGTGTGGTGGTCTGCCCGTGCGTGAGCGCAGTGCGCAATTGCTGAGACTTTGCGCCACGGTTGAGTTTGGTGCGCTTGGGGTTGGGTGCTGGTTGGGAGTGGGGAGAAATGCGCGGCTCGATGTTTCAATCGAGTGATTCCTTGTTCGTTTGTTCTCCCAACCAATGTTGATGGGGCGACTCGTCTAAATGGCATTTGCGCGGGAAATGGGGGAGTCCAAAGAGTTGGTCGTTCCCTCTCAATAGTGATCCAGCCCTCGTGCCAACAGAATTGGTGAGAGAAAATTTTATCTAAATACATTATTGCGGGAGAGCTTGGACTGGAAGGTGTTTACCTAAGCATCTAAATCACAAAGTAGCTGACGTGGAATGTTGATGAGGTGGAGGGAGGGCCGTGCTTGTCTCGATATGCACTTTCCTTGCAGGAAATACGGAACCTTGGCGAAACGTCGAATAAAGCTGAGAAGCAGGGATGAGCCCGATTGGCTCACCGCTTCGCGAATGTCAGCAGTATCACAAGCCCGTGTAACCAGGGTCAAGAGCACCAGTTCGTGCGACGGCGAGCAACAGCAGCCGTCAGCTTGACTGGCGACGACGACAAAGGCGACCACCTGTGAGTGTGACGTGCAAGGCGGCAAACCCGATACAGTCTGTCTTACTGAAAATCGGCGAGTGTAGATTTACCTGCTGTTTAGCGTACGTTGTGTGAATAAACACAACAAGCACCAAACATTTCGTCAGAATGAATAATCTTATTTTGGCCGAAGTGAAAACATCAACAATGAAAGCATCGCAGCAAGAGATTACTTCATCAAACTCATACATCTTCTCCACTATACAACCTAACATTGTTACACTCTTCGAAAATACTACCTTCTCGGCGGCAACTCGGCAAAAATCTGAGTCAGCCTCGGCAGGTAGCTCTCTGCTTCCGACGCGAAATGCTGGTCTTTGCCTCTTTTCGACGCACCTCAAGCTTCGCCACTCCCTCCTGCTCCAGCCTCCCTTTCGCATTCAACCGGGGAGGTTTTGAGTCCACTAGAGAAACTCTTCCCGCCTCCCCTTAACTTTCAGTCTCATTTGAGCGAACTGCTCCGTGAACCCAATTCCGTCCTCTGCTGCGTCGTACAAGGCTGGCGGCACAGGCCTCACACTGGCAGCGTTGAAACCAGTGGCAGCAGTAGAAGAATTGACAGCAGTGGCAGCAGTGGCAGCAGTGGAAGAAGTGACAGCAGTGGAAGAAGTGATAGCAGTGACACTACTAGAGAGCTCTTCGTCCCGTCGTCCCTTTGCTTTCAATCTCATTTGAGCAAACTGTTCTGTGAACCCAATTCCGTCCTCTGCTGCGTTGTACAAGGCTGGCAGCACAGGGCTCACACTGACAGCACCGGCAGCATTGATATCAGTGGCAGCAGTGGTAGAAGTGGCAGAAGCAGCATCAGTGGCGAAAGTGGCAGTAGTGGTAGCAGTGGCAGCAGCGGAAGCACCGGCAACAGCATTACCTTGTGACTGAGCAGGCGGTTGCATAGACCCAGCACAATCCTCTGCTGTCGCAGGCAGCACAGGCCGCATTCTGGCAGCACTGGCGGCGCCGTCAACACGAACAACGCCGGTGGCACTGGCAGCACTAGCAACTCGGCCAGCTCGAGCAGAGGTGGCAGCACTGGCAACACTGGCGCCGCGGCTAACGCTGGCAGCAACCCTTAGCTGAGCGAACTGTTCCGTGAACCCAACCCCTCCATCCTCCGCGGCATCGTAGAACGCTGGCCGCAGCGGCTCCTGAAAACCCGCCTTCCCGTAGCCCCCACCCGCAGAAGCTGTTTCTGAAACAGTTCCCAGAAGCTCGTTGCTGTTGCCATCGTCCCCCCTGCTTTCACTGCCTGCGTGCTGCTGGTGCTGCTGTTGTTGCAGTTGCTGCTGTTGCTGTAGTAGGTAGTGTAGATCGGCCACAAGCTGAAGCTCCTGCAACTCCTGCTCCAACGCCCCATCCGACCAATCATCAGCAATTCCCAGCCCATCCTCCTCCGTCTCCACCTCATTCACCTCCCTGGCCGTATTCTCCCCCTTCTCCTCCTCTTCCTTGTCCCGATTCCCCTCCCTACCTGCGCCCACTAATGTGTCTCCCTTCCCCTCCTTATTCTCCTTCGCATTCTCCTGCTCCAACGCCCCATCAATCAAATCATCCGTATCAACCCCCGCAACACCGCCCCCGTCATTCTCAGCACCTAGAGCACTCAGCTCCGGAGGCAGCGGCTCATTCTCCCAGGGGCCAGGAGCTGCTGCAGCTTCATGGTACATTCGAAGCAGATCCAACGCATCCTGCCTGCGCATCTTTCCCTGGTTCAGCAGCTCTCTGAGCGAGTTCCCTTGAGAGGAAGAATCATTCGTCGATGCACAAGGAGTGGCAGAAGAAACGGCAGATACAGGGCCAGAAGATGAGACAGATGCGGAGAGGTCACCAAAGGTAACAGCAGCAGCAGGATGCGAGGAAGTATATCCGGTAGGGGAGGATATCAGTGGACCTCCCTGGGCATAGGGAAGCAGAGCACTAGGTGGAATGCGAAATGATCCGCTATAAGGAACTGGAGAGGGCAGTGCTCCGTTATAAGGAATGTATGGTAATCCTCCTTTAGGCATGCTGGACTCCGCAGGTGGATTCAACCAAGGCCCGGCGTCAGAGGAGGGTGGTGATGGGGATGCGTAGTGTCCACCGTGAGAGAATTGCTCAAACGAAGGCATGAGAGCTGAGGCCTGAGGCTGTTTCGTTGTAATCACCAGCTCTGACATGCCTTCAGGAGCAACAGGTGCATAAAGTGAAAGGCCCGCTGCTGGTTGCTGGCATGAGTTAGGATCTGAGGGCGATATGTGAGGTGCCTCAAGAATTGACTGCCGAAGCGTCAGTTGTGACTCAGGCTCTGAAGATGGTTGGCTGGGTTGCTCACTCAGCACAGGGGCTTCGCCCGAGGGATGTGATTGGCTGGAGAGCCAGTGGTGGAAGCGGAAGAGGCGGAGAAAGCGGGCTCTGGCTCGGGGGTCGAACTGGGGTGAGGAAACGACCGACCGTGCCACGTCAGCGCCTGAAAGCGAATCAGGAACAACACCTGAATTGGAACATTTTTGCAATGTAGCAACTTCCCCTCGCCTTTTCCTTCTCGTCCACCACATTCCGTTCCTCCTTCCCCTCCTTCCCCCCCAGCACCTGCTGCTCCTTCTGATACTTCCACTGCTGCATTTGCTGTAGATCCTCCCCTTTCACTTTCTGCTCCTTCTGCTACAACTGCCACGTCAGCCATTCCTTTCTTTTTCCGCCGGCCGTCTCCGCTGTTTCGCTCACCCCCACGCTCCCTCATCATACCACCCATGCCTGTCATTGTGCTTCGCATCTTGGTGGAAAATCGCTGCAGCAAGCTGCTGGAGGGTCCAGATTCCGACGTCGTATTACCAGAGGGTAAATCGCAAGCTCCAGGTCCTGTAACCTTGTCCTCGTTAACAGCATCCGCAGCGTCACCTTGCGTCGAGTTTTTTTGCGTGGTCGCTGCCATTCGCACGGGTCGTCGAAAGCTTCTTGTGCGGACAATGAAGTAGATGTTAACAAACGTATAATAATAGTAATAATTTCACGGGGAATGAGCGGGAAAACGACGCTTGCTGGTGGTAAAACTAGGTAGTGAAGTTGAAATATGACGAGAGGAGGCGGGAAAACATCCGGATATCAAACGGTGTGAACTGGATGGTGAGGGATTATGAACGAAAAAGGGAGTTGCCTCTAGAAACGTGTATGGGGGAGCAGAGTGGAACCATCCGTTGTTTTACCAACGGATTGACAGGAGGAACGGAGGCGAATAATGGGCAAAGAAAAAGCGACTTGGCAAAGTGGAGCTTCATCTCCGTTGTTGTTCTGGCGTACGGGGAACAGGGCTGCATTGATTTCAGTGCGATTCAGACATTTACGAGACGGTTGAAAGGATTTATCATAACCAACCGCTTTGGACCGCAACATACCATACACGGGAAAGTACACACAAAACGAACATGCGGTTATTTTCGGTTCAGGGGGTTGAAGGGAACTGAAGTTATTTGGGGCGATTTTGGAACCACATCAGGCATAGCTGTGCGAGTAGTAGAGCCAATTTTGCGTCGCGTCTGTTTTCCTCGCAGAGAAACTAGGCACGCTTTTTTTACCGCGCGTTCTTGCAGGTTGTCTACTGCCATGTCCTCTCGCTTCCCCGTTTCCAGGTCTGTCCGGGAAACAATTTTCAATCCAGTTAGGTCACCAGGTAGTAGCGCCGGTATCAGTGCGGGTGATAGGACGACGTCTTCCGCAGCCCCGTTCTTCTCCAGTGAAGCCGCAGGCCCTGGGGGTCCGAAGAACCCCCACCCAGGCCCGCGATCCACCCCGCTCTTTCGCGTGCTGAACCCCGAGCTCTTCGTGAAGCCGAACGCGGCGGTTGCGCTGATCGGGACGGTGGCGTTCGTGGGTGTGCTGGGGTCGCTGTATCTGGAGAAGCAGGCAGTGGAGAAGCAGAGAGCGGAGGCGAAAGCAGCGGCTGAAGCGGCGCTGTTGGCGTCTGGCCAAACTCTATCCTCGGACGACAGGGTTTAGTCAGATTGCTACAGTAGGGTGCACGAAAGTAGTGATCTTGTTTCCGTGGCTGTAGGTTTAGTAGCTGCTTTAGACTTCCCCACACTGCTCCATACGGACGATAGTTATGTTCATGAGATGCTCGGGGATGTTGGGTGAGATTGTCAGCAATCGTCTTAGAGGCACCACTCTTTTTCTTCACTGTGCTATCTTCAGTGCCACATTTGCGCTAGTACTCGTGGGTGCGGCAAAGCCTGAGCTCGCAAACTGCAGTCATGCAGGTGAGGTGCGTGAGTGTGTAGTTCCGTATATTTGACTGCTCAACATACTTCTGAGCATCCGTTTTGATTGGTGAGTACACACCATGCCATTGTCTGCTTTCCAGGTCTTCCATTCGTGCGAAGCATTGATGCAATTCCGTTGTCAAACTTCGGCCGCCCTGGGTTGTCTCACGCTACAATTGCGGGCCATGTTCACCATGGTACGCAAGAGGTAAGCATGTAATCGTTCGAGCTTGCCTCCCTTGATTGTAAGCATCACTGGCTTATTCATGAAAATGTCAGTGATTTGTTACCAGGTAGAAATGTGGATGCAGACCTTTGCTCCTGGAAGTGGAACTCCCATTCACAGACATGGATGCGAGGAGCTGTTTGTAGTCCTCAATGGTACAGGGAAGCTGCTGTTTGCCCCAAATGTCCCTGATCTTGATGCACAAGGCATAATGCAGGCACAAGAAAAAGAAAAGGAGCAAAGCATACCAGGTCTCCCTGTTTCTAGGCTCATCAGTGCGAACATGACCTTCATATTGCCTTCGAATCAAGTCCATCAGGTATGTGGCCCCTATTTTGCTTATCCGTTCTATAAGCATCCATTTGTGAATCATTCCAAGGTTTATTCTTGACTGTGTGCTGCAGATCTTGAACAGCGCTCCTGAATGTGGCTCAGAGTCCTGCAACTTGCTGCAGCTTCTAGTCATCATATCTGAACCTCCAATTCACGTGTAAGTTAAAGAAGCAATAATGTCTGTACAAAGTTCTTCTGTGATGCTACATGCATTTTGTGGTTTTGCAGATATGCCTACAACTCTTGGGATCTTCCACATAGGCAGGCTGATCTCAAGTTCCCATACCCGTGGGATCAAGTGTGTCCTGATGCAATTCCTCTGTAGTCCGTGCTCCGATGAACAAGTTTAACAGGACTTTATTTGCTCGCAGCAAATATGCATGGCCCAATGTCAAATTGATCTTCTGTAGGATACTGGGCCTTCAGTGCTTGCAGCATTTCTTGTGTCAGCAATGGTCGCACCACTTGTTCAGTGCCATCCAGGCTGGTCCATGTTCTTGTAATGCCTTGACATTGGTTGCTCTCGTCAAGCGGAACCCAGCTGAAGGAATGAAGTTTCTCCCAAAATTCGCTGAGGGGCACTCTGTTGATATTCTTTTGGGTGTAAATGAACTCCAAGACACTGTCTATTAGAGGAAGCGGTCCCATGTTTTGTTCCATTAAGATCGTCCTCAGTTGTTGCTTGGACAAAAAAAGATGGCCCCACGGAGGAATAAAGGATCCATTATTCGCATATCTGCAGGTTTTGTCACCTGTTAACTTGGCCCAAGAAGACGCAATGAAAAGAAAGTAGTGAAGAACATACCTGAAGGAAGCATTCATCCTTGCAGCTCGTCGTTGAACCATGTCTTCGTGTATGTGGTGGCCAAAGGGTCCCGTCCAAACAGGGTCCCATAAAAACAGAACTAGCCCTCCAGGCTTTAAGACACGGAACGTCTCGCTGATAAACAGCTTCAAGTCAGCAACGTGCTCCAGAACGTTGTCGCTGAAGACTACGTCAAATGTGTCGTTCAGAAATGGCAGAGTCTTGCAGTCGGTGCTCAGAAACATCGTGTTATTTCGCTTGACTTTCAGTGCCGATGTGTCATCCCCTTCAAAAGGGCAGTTAACGCCAACGTACTTGCCAACGACTTTTCCCAGCTCATATCCAACGCTTCCGGTCACATCACTGCCGTTCTCCAGCATCGTAACGTTGCTGAGATCTGATCCAAGATGCCTCCGCATGAAATCCAGCAATGTCGTGACCCCTCTCAGTCGATACAATGGAAGTGGGTCATTCCCCGACGTTTCATCGTTTCTCTCATCAGGAACTGTCACAAGCAGTCTGGAATTACGTTCGTAAACGACTGGAATCCCAAGTGTCTTAGTAGCATCTGCACATGCGCAAGTATCAGCAACCATCGGCTGGGAATTGATGAACTCAAATGCTCCATCTCCAACAAGCAGAAGAATGATTGTAAGGAGGCCGAGCGCCGCTCCACACAGAAGAGATGTGCTCTGCTGTGACTTAACATGATCTCTAACCAAAGTGTAGGTCTTCGGCATCTTAGCCAAGGATGGAATGATAGTGGCTAGCTGCTTCGTCGGGAAAAATGAAGAGCATGTGGAAAGCAAAGCATGTAGAATGGAATGGATGCGTGTTGGAGGGGATCTGGTTGAAATGGAGAGCAGAACATTTGTGGATAGGGAGGAGCGGAAAGTCTTGGGAGTTCCGGCCTCGAGAACACCGCATGGTTGTGTAAAAGCAATTCGTGAACCAATCAGGGAGCAGGACACTATCAGGTGCGGCGAATTGACGGCGTTGTGTGGTTGGGTTGTTTATTTAGGGTGCATTCCTATGGCGGGTCTGACATCAGGTCATCCGCCCTTAGTCTCTGATTTGTCTCTTCTCAATGTTGATTTGCCCCTATTTTGAACCACTTCGGGTCTTCCGAGCTTCTAAGGACGAATGACCTGATGTCTGACACGAGGTAGGAATGCGCCCTCAGTTTTCTGAAAGCACCCCAAGAGTTTTCCCTTTCGAAACGAAATCAAACTGATCAATGTCCGACCCATCGCACGATTTGATAGCTCTGGATAGCAAGTTTGATCATTAAACATGTAATATATTTGTGCTTCCACTGGAAATCCCTTTTTTAAGCATCGAGAGGATACCCCTAGATTCCCCCTCCGATCAACCACATCGGTACGGGACATTCTTCTTCAATTGTCCTTTCACTTCCACACAAATATGGCATTCCCCAGACTTCGCGCTTCCCTTCTGTGGAGCTATGGCTTCCTAAAGCTGTAGCTCCATTTTTTCAAGGGCTCCATTGAGCTGCGTAACAATACTGTAAGAGAGTCGTCTTCACTCTCTTCTGACCAGCTTCGCCGTTCGGATTTTTATTAACCTTAAAAAAGGGAAAACAAAATTCCAAAATGGCGAACAACCGCACCGGCTTCAGCCGGTTCCGTGGCTCTTTCGAAGACCTAGTCGGTTCCTTACCCATAACCGAGCCCCTTTTAAGCGGCCGAAGCCCGTTAGACTTCTTCTACGGGCTCCCCTATCGCCCTAGCCAGCCATCGCCGTCACCATCCCCGCAAACCGCCATCGGATCTTCTCTCACCGGCCTCCCAGCGTCGGAAAGAGACTCCGATTATATCGAGGATGGAGCCGTTCCTGTTCCTGGCCGAGCTCCTGGAGTCAACCCCTACATTGTCCTCCCGGGAAGGGGAACTAGACCTGGGTCTAGGCCTGGTGCTGCTCCGACCGTCAGTAATCAGCATGCTCGACGCACAGGACCCCCCCAGGTCCCGTTTCCCGGCAACCGAGCCATTCCTCCTGGTCGCCGGCCCCATGTCCAGCGATCTCCCTCCCCGTTCGGCTCTCTCGCGTCGCTTCACGAAAAGGTTCCGTTTCTGCCTGACGAGGAAGAAGGGAGAGAGTCGCTCGAGTCCACTCCTGGGTTGCCTGAGAGGGAGCCGCCATCTCCGCCGCCTTCCCCGCCGTCGCAGCCGTTCCTTCCGTCCCAGCCTCCGCCTCCGTCGGCGGCGCAAGCGCGCGTGGTTACTCGAGCTCGGGAGGACGGGACCACGTCTTTAAAAAGTTCCATATTTAATCTCTCGAACACGATGATTGGCGCGGGCATGATGGCCTTGCCTGCAGCGATGAACGTCCTAGGGGTCGTGACTGGGAGCGTAGCGCTTATCTTCGTGGCGCTATTAACTTATGGGTCCGTCATGGCCATGGTTCGCTGCACTGTCGCCGCTGCTGCCGCTTCATCCCCTTCTGAGGAAGACCCTTCGCGGTTTCGGGAATCGGACACCTCAGATGATGCCGCGGGAGCAGCAGGAAGAGGCAGAACTGGCAGAGACGGCAATCCCAGGGAATTGGGAAGAAAATTAAACGCTAGCGATGGAGGGAATATCAGCAGTGTTGGCAGCCGCAGTTTCAGTATGCGGGATGAGGAGAAGCTGAGTTATAACCACACCGTGGCTACGGCTCTGGGAAGCACCGGACGGCTGGTGCTGCAGTTGTCGATTGTTGTCAACAATCTGGGCCTCATGATGGTGTTTCTTGATATCATTGGTGAGTGATTCGTTTATTGAGGAGCCTCAGTCAAAGTGTCCATTGTTGTCAACAATCTGGGCCCCATGATGGTGTTCCTTGATATTATCGGTGAGTGTGTATTTCTCTTTGAGTGTCAGAAATTGTGTTGATTGTTGTCGACAATCTCGGTGTTATGTTGCTGTTTCTTGATTTTTTTGGTGAGTGAATCACTTTTGTGGAGCCTCAGAAAAGGTGTTTATTGCTGTCAACAACTTGGGCCTCCTGATGATGTTTCTGATATTATCAGTGTGGCTTTCACTACTTCTCCCGATGCTGATAGGCATGTTTATGTGCAGGTTATGTGGTTCGTTTTTGTTCAGTACAGTGTACTTTGTCCTCCCTGGGGAAGGCCGCATTGTCTCTCTATAAGCTGCACTGACATGCAAATGCTGCCAAAAAACAAAGTATCCTTGCTAAAGCTCGCTCCTTATTGTGCTTGCGGCTTTTCTTGTTCGTTCTCCATGTGTGACTGCAGGGGATGTGCTTGTAGGCAGCGCCACAGGACCTGGCGTTCTGCCACTGGATCAGCTGCACTTGTCCCCAGATTTGGCCAGAAAGACTATCCTCGCTATAGTCATTCTCCTTATTCTGCCTCTCTGCTTGCAAGACAGACTCGGTAAGTTCTGCACTCTGAGAGCGCTTGACATTGTTTGTTGATTCTTGGACGTCTCAACGTCTCAATGTTTCCATATTCCATGTTCTTTGTTTTATGATTTCTCTATTCCCATCTCTCTCCCTCTCTCTCGTCAAACCCCAACCCCTCATTAGCCCTCTCCCGCCCCCGGTCTCCCTCCTCATCATTTCTGTCCTCCCCACCATCCTGTCAACCTCTCATTTGTCCCTCTTCCTATCCACCAATCAGGGTCCATGAAAGTCGCAAGTAAGATATCAGTGGCCCTGGCCATCGCGTTTGTGCTGCTTGTGCTCCTGCTGTCCGGAGGGAAGATTGCAGCTGGTGCCGCCACCATGCCGCCACTGTTCGCCACGTCTGGCAATGCTCTGGCTGTTTTCAGTGTCATCAACATCGTCACAAACGCCTTCATATGCCATTTCAATGGTAAGTATCATGGATTCTATTGAGTTATTTCTTTAGAGTACAAGTGATTCGCAGGTCCCTTGCTGTTTTCAGCGTCATCGACACCGTTGCAAACGCCTTCGCATATGCCATTTTGATGCTGAGTGAGTGCCCCTCTCATCTTAACCACTGCAACATGGATCCTCCTATCATGTTCCTTTCAGCAGTGCTCGATGATTTTTATCCCAGCGCCCCTCGTCATGCTTATTCCATCTCTGCCCTTCCTCTCTGCCTCTCTTGCCGGCCGTAACCTTTTTTCCGTCCCCCACCCCACCCCTACCAGTGACCCCTATCTACAGGGAGCTAAGGGACCGCTCCCTCCCTCGCATGCGCACGGTCGTCCGTTGCTCCGTCATCATCACAACCCTCGTCTACCTCGCAGTCGGCATTTTCGGCCTCGTCCTTTTCGGCCCCGATGTGCACACAGACGTGCTATACGATTTTGACACAAGCTTAGACGTCGTTCCAGGAATGAGCCCCGTGATCGCGGCGCATGCGGTTGCGCTAGGGCAAGGGGTGAAGATCGGGTATGCGATTTCCAGGGTGCTTTCGCTGCCTCTGGCGTTGTTTCAGCTACGGCTGGTTGTGGCGTCGCTGCTGTCGGCTTGTCTGGGGAGGAAAGGGAGAGGAGGGAGGGACGAGGGAAGGACTACAAGCAGCAGCGGCAAATCTGAAGGTGTGGTTGAGGCAGGTGGTTTTAGCAGCGGCCGGACGAAGGAGAGAACGAGGGTAAATTCCCTTGAGTATATTCAGGTCGACGGAAATGAGGATGGGACGGAGGAGGCCGGGGAGGAGGAGGTGGGAGAAGAGAGGGAAGGGGAGGAGACGGAAGGGGAGGAGGAGGACACAGAGGGGGAGGAGGAGGAAGAGGAGGACGAGGAAGCAAGGCTCGAAGAGCTTCGACGGGCGGAAGAAAAGGCAACTAAAAGGCGACGTTTTTGGCGCCAAGTCCGTTTCGTACTCCTTACAGTGTTCCTCCTCGCTATGGCATTTTGTGGAGCGGTGCTGGTGCCGGATATCTGGATAGTGTTCCAGTTTATGGGCTGTACTGCAGCGGTTATCATAGGGTTTGTTTTCCCTGGGCTTGTGGCTTTAAGGGCCAAGGGAGGAACTGTATTAGTGTCTGATACGGTGGTGGCTTGGCTCCTGGTGTTGGTGGGTGTAGCTGTGGGGATTATTGGTATTGTTGTTAATGTTGTTGTGCTCTTGAACGATGGCATGCCTTGATGCCATGATAGGCACGTGTTTCATGTTACTGCACCTTGCGCTTGCTGCAACTGCTTTTTCTACGGTATTAATTCATTTTCCTGAGGTTGGTGTCACTGGTATGATTTGTTTGCATCAATCAAATCACACAAGGTTCAATACTGCTGCTACCAATACTCTTGTTGTGTTGTGTGTGACCTTTTTCCTTTAACCTTGTTCCTCTTGTTCCGACGTACGGTACTGTATGGTGCAATAGACTGCTGTTGCCAGCAGCACTCTGCAAAGTGCGTAACATGTTGTTGCCAGATTCCACAGCCCAGCTCAGCACCTTTCATCCACCAGGTTTTGCTCTGCCAACAGCATGTGACTGACAATTTGTGCACAAAGTAGCCTTTTTTCACGTATCTAGGTTACACCATTATCTTGAACTGTCATCATAAATAAGAGCGTTGTGTTACATCATAACAGCTGTTGCACGTTCTGGCGCTGCTTCATCTTGGAGGGTGGCCATCTGCCATTCTTCCTCAGCTTCCTCTTCTGCACCAACTGCACAGTTCATCCCCCCTGGTCTTGGTTTGCCAGCAGCAGCACGTACTGTATAACGAATAGCACACAAAGCAGCATATTTCCTGCATCTTGGTTACACACAGGCTATAACATTCATTTGTCTTATCACAAAAGTGAGTGTTACACATTCGAGTGTTACACATTCTGGTGCTGCTTCATCTTGGAGGGCGGCCATCTGCCCTTCTTCCTCAGCTTCCTCTTCTGCACCAATCGCTTGCGCCGCTGCTCCTCCTTCCGCGCCGCCTTGATGTCCTCTGCTAACTGTAGCGGCAGCTCCTCCACTGCTGACGTGGCCTCCGCCACGTCAGCTGCCAGCTCGACCAGTGGTGCTGTGGTGGCGGCGGCCTGAGGGACGGCGAGGCGGAGTGAGCGCATGGAGAACGTGAGGGGCTCGCCTGGAGTGGGGGAGGGGGAAGTTGGTGGGGGTGGGTGGGGGTGGAAGTGAAGGGAACGGCAAGGGTACGCGCACAGGGGCATGCGGCTTGCGGACGGCGAGGCGGAGAGAGCACATGGAGAACGTGACGGGCTCGCCTGAAGGGGATTGAAAGCGAGGGCGTGGGGAAGAGGGGGTGGGGGGAGGGAGGGGAAAGAAGAGCGGGAAGAAAATGGGCGAGGGAAAGGAAAAGAGCAAGGGTAAGCAAAGGCGTAGGGACAAGTGGCTCAGAGGAAAGCGAGTCGAAGAGAGTGGATGGAGCAACTCGGTTCACCGAAGGTTGCGGGGGCGGTGGCGGGCGGGGTGTGTGTGGAGATGGAAGGTGAAGGGAGCGGGCAGGACGTGAACGGGGAAGGAAATATTTGAAGATAATGGAGGGACTGAGGGATGCGAAGGGAGAGAAAGGAGGGAAAGTGGAGGACATGGAAGGGCAGAGGGATGAAATGAGTCAGTGAGAGGGCGCTATGACGACTTAAGAGTGACTCGCTCATTCCGAGTAACAAACGGGTGGTTGACAAAGGAACGAGAAGAGTTTGACGAAGTGACGTGGCAGGTAACATAGAGCTGTAGAATGAAGGAAGCGGGATGAGCCAGGCTGATGAGTGAACCAGGCGGACGAGCTAAGTAGATTCAATTCGATACACGATTTCCCCTCGACGTCTTCGACGCAGTCTCAATGAGCAAGCCGAACACGCACAAGTCGAACTCAGTGCGCACAAGTCGAGCCCGAATGATTAATGCTACACGGCTTTATCTCCTCTACTCCTTCTCTACTCCCACGTTTCAATGTCTGCATCTTCACCTGCACTGCCGTTCCGAAGAGCCACGAAAGAGTTTCCAGTCCCGTCCTCGCTCATTTTTGCAACATGTGTTGCCTAGAAGAAGCTCGAGAAGGGTCGAAGCTCATGTCAGATAACGGCATTCGCACACTACTCTTAGGCGAAGTTTCTTGCAAGCGTGAACGTCAATGCTAAGGATCGTAACGGCGCGAACCCTCAGACATGCGTGATTTCTCGTAGGTGATGACGGAAACACTCTACTTTCTGCCTCAAAGCCCCTAACACTACGTTTGGCCCTAACCCTAATCAGGAAGCGTAAGCCTGAGACGCTTAGTGGAAGGGCCTGAGACCTAAGGTACTCACAGGCGAGGCTCTTGCTCCGCGACGAGACGGTGGAGAAACTGGCGGAAACCGCGGCGGAGCTAAGCGCGGGGAACAATGACGCCATAGCAGCCATGGCTGAAGCACGGACCCGAAGGACGCGGCGAATCTTACGGGGAAAACAATGTGCGTCAGGCTGAAGGACGCTGAACAAGCAGCAGAGACTAAAAGAAATAACTAGGTATGTAGTAAAAAACTGGTAGGAGCCAAAACCCTTCAGGCAGGTCTGCGCGGAAAGCGGCCTTGCGGGGAGATGCGGGGAATGCGCGGTCGGACACATCTTGGGCGGAATAGTCGGCGGAAAGGTAGAGCGGGGACCGGTGAAGGGGGGAGTATGGGCTGATCTGATTGGTGTTGACAGCACGCGCGGGGAAATCTCAAGGGTGAGGGCGCGGGGGTTTGGCATGTGGCGATGCAATTCAATTTCACTCTGACATTGCACGTTTTAGTTCGTTGCAATACGGTCAGAGGCATTAGGGCTGTCTACCGTGTTGAAACTCACTGAACCGCACTGGACGATCGATGAAAAAACACGCTAGTGTTCATGGATGGGTTTCGGGGACACGTGGCAAAAAGGAAGGCGTCAAGAGACACGTCAACACAAAGTCACAAGAGTAATCCGCGTCAGTAGACGTCTTCAAAGAAAGAAAACACAATGTAGACGATCAACAAAGTGACCCTAATTACATACACAGACGTAAAAACATAAACCCTGATCACTGAGAAAGCCTAAACATTCAAAGAGAATTACTAGCCTATACATATTACATAGCGAAGAATTCTCAGCACACCACGTGGCCATGAACGCCTCCACCTCGAGCTTGCGCTGCTACAAGCGTTCGGTTGGCCACTACAACCGCCGCTTTCGTTGCACTGCGCAACGCATCAGCCAACGGCCCGAGTCTCAGCGCCGAACCCCATTGCTGCGTACTCACTATAGCCATCTCGTTACTTCCCACAGTCCCATCATTGTTTTCCACGCCTCCATTATCACCCATTTCCTTTATCACACCCACTTCCACGAGGACCGCAACTTCCCGGAAATCCACCACTTCTCGGAGCACCTGTACCATGACCCGACCACCATAGGCCGCCTCCAGCTCAATGATTGCTGCCAGCGCAGCAGCATCCACGTCAGCATCCTCCGCAGCAGCATATGTCGCGCTCTCCTCCGAGCCATGACTTGCCAACCTCGAAAACACCCGGCTGTCATCTCCTCCTCCTCCTCCTCCAGTAGCAGCAGCAGGCGCAGAAGCAGCAGCAGCAATACCACCAGCAGGAGCAACTGAAGTGGAACGAACGGTGCCAGAGACAGCTGCAGCAGCAGCCGTGAGAGAATCATCAGCGTAAGTAGTTGTGCTGCCGAAAGCACACGAGGCACCAGCAGCAGCAGCAGCAGCAGCACCAGCACCAGCAGCACCAGCAGCACCAGCAGCACCAGCAGCAGCAGCAGCAGCAGGGGCAAGGCCATGCGGATGCGTTCCGTTAAGAGTCATGCCTGCCATTCCAGCCGCCACATGCGCTGCTCCAGATAAACCTCCCCCAGATAAACCTGCGCCAGTCTGCACCCTCAGCACCAGCAGCAGCACCACCAGCAGCAGCAGACGAGGTGGTTGGGGCAGGCACAGAGGCAGAGAGGCTTCTGGAGAGAGAGGGAGGTACAACTGGTGCAGCTGCTACCTCCTCTGCACTGCTCCACACCCCCACCGACGAATACACCACCCCTTTCACCCGGTTGCTCAGGTAACAGCTCATCATGCCACCTGGCGCCAGGCTGGCGTGGCCCGCCGCCATGTCAGCGCCAGCGTCAGCAGGGTCGGCATGGGTGGACCGGCCAGCGAAGGGGAGCGAGAGGGAGAGGCGGAAGGAGGAGCCTTGGGAGGGGGCGGAGTCGCAGGAGAGAGTGCCGTGCATGAGAGAGGCGAGCTTCTGACTCACAATCAGGCCCAGGCCGGAGCCTGCTGGGGTAGATGAGCTGGGATGGAGGGACGGGGGGAAGGGGGGAGAGGTGGGAGAGAAAGAAACTTGGAGGCGGAAGGAGGAGCCTTGCGAGGGGGTAGAGTTGCAGGAGAGAGTGCCGTACATGAGAGAGGCGAGCTTCTGACTGACGATCAGCCCAAGGCCTGATCCTGCAGGCGTCGAAGAGCTGTTGGGAACGCAGGGCAGAGGGAAGGGGGGAGGGAAAGAAACACAGAGACTTGGAGGCAGAAGGAAGGAGGAGCCTTGGAAGGGGTCAGGGTGGCAGGAGAGAGCGCCGTGCATGAGAGAGGCGAGCTTCTGACTTACGATAAGCCCAAGGCCTGATCCTGCTGGGGCAGAGGAGCTGCTGGGAAAGCGGGGTGAGGGAAGGGGGAGGAAAGACACACAGAGACTTGGAGGCAGAAGGAAGGAGTCTTGCGAGAGGGTAGAGTGGCAGGAGAGAGTGCCGTGCATGAGAGATGCGAGCTTCTGACTGACTACAAGGCCCATGCCTGACCCTGCTGGGAAAGAGGATTGTAAGATGCAGGAGAGGGAGCGAGTCATGAGAAGGGGTGGGGGAGGGAAGAGAAAGGGGAAAATCATTGTAGGAAAGGAGCGTAGCGAAGGGTTCACCTATGGAAGTAGGGTCCTTATATGGAAGTAGGGTCCATATATGGAAGTAGGGTCCACATATGGAAGTAGGGTCCACATATGGAAGTAGGGTCCACATATTTAAGTAGGGTCCATATATGGAAGTAGCACTCACTGGGATTCAGTGTCAGATGCGCCACTAGAGATGGCCGGTGCTAAGCTGGGATCAATGCCCGAGAACACATGCTGCCGCTGCTCTTCACTCAACCCAGCACCCACAAGCCATCACCCATCAACCACCACTCATCAGGGTCCAGAGCAGAGTAGCCTTACTCACCGGGATTCAGTGTCAGACGCGCCACTAGAGATGGCCGGTGCTAAGCTGGGATCAATGCCCGAGAACACATGCTGCCGCTGCTCCTCACTCAACCCAGCACCCACAAGCCATCACCCATCAACCACCACTCATCAGGGTCCAGAGCAGAGTAGCCTTACTCACCGGGATTCAGTGTCAGACGCGCCACAGAGATGGCCGGTGCTAAGCTCGGATCCATGCCCGAAAACACATGCTGCCGCTGCTCCTCACTCAACCCAGCACCCACCACCCAGCACCCACCACCCACCACAGCAGCAGCAGCACTCACCGCGATTCAGTGTCGGAAGCGCCACAAGAGATGGCTGGTGCTAAGCTGGGATCCATGCCCGAAAACACATGCTGCCGCTGCTCCTCACTCAACCCTGGCCCTGAATCCGCCACACAGAAGACAAACGGAAACATCTCCTCCGCATCGTCAGTCGAAACGTTTCGGCCCTGCCCACTCCGCTGCCCGGACTGCTGCCCGTGCACGAGCCTTCCGGCCAGCACGTCTCTTCCGTACTCGTTATTAGCCGCTTCGCCAGATGCCTTATAGAGCTGCACCTCGACCCAGCCTTGTTCGGTGTACTCCACAGCGTTACGGAAGAAATTTGCTACAATCTGCTGCACGCGGTGCTTGTCGCCCTTTACAATCACGTCGGCACACTGCGGCTCCACCGAGCAGAAGACTTGTAGACCCTTGTCCCCCGCGTTCTCATGCTCCTGGGGTTGGGGGGAGGGGGGTTGAGGGGGGTTGAGGGCGGTTGAGGGGGGTTGAGGGGGGTTGAGGGCGGTTGAGGGGGGTTGAGGGGGGTTGAGGGCGGTTGAGGGGGGTTGAGAAAACCGGGAGCGGAGCGGGGAGGCAAGGGGAGGGACAGCGGAGGAAGCCAGAAAGATGGAGGATTAGCAGGAGGAAGTGGAGAGGCAGTTTGCGACACTCAACCAACCCTGGGCCATGGGGAAACCCACCTATGCTATGTGTCCTGTAGGTAGGCTGCTCCACCCACCTGGGCTATCACGGCGTCCACCACGTGAATGAGCTCAAACGTCTCGCTCTCCACCTCCAACTTGTATGCAGAGGGGGAAACATGGCTAGGGGGAAAACCATATAGACCATGTGGGGAGGGCGGGACTCACCTGGGCTATCACGGCGTCCACCACGTGGATGAGCTCAAATGGCTCGCTCTCCACCTCCAGCTTTCCCTCCTCTAGCTTGCTGAGATCCAACACATTGTCCACCACACGGCGAAGATACTTGCTGTTGGGGAGAACAGTTACGGACAGGTGGGAAGATGTGACGAGGGATGCAGAGGGGTGATAAGGAGTGAATAACAGTGCTAGATCGCTCTCCACCTCCAGCTTGCCCTCCTCTAGCTTGCTCAGGTCCAACACATTGCCTACAACCCAGCGAAGGTACTTGTAGCAGGGAGTTGATGATGGATGCAGAGGGGTGGCAGCAGGTAAATTACGGTACCAGCAGAGCAGAAACGCGAAGGGACAGAGCAGAGAGAGACACAATTAATTAAGATATACATGGGAGCAGCACACATATCCGCAGGTGCTGGTCGCGTGAAGTGTAGCAGGTTCCTCTGTCCAATCACATCAGGACATCTCAGTGCCTTCCAGGAAGCTGACTACTGAGACGCCTCAAGAGAAGAGCGGATGGACAGAAAAGATATGCATACCCGCAGGCCGAGGTGGCATGCAGCAGGTCCCTCTGATCCGACGACATCTCAGTGCCCTCCATAAAGCTGATGGACGACAGGATGCCGTTCAGCGGGTTGCGGATCTGGGTAGAGGGTCATGTGGGGGAGGCATGAGGAGTGCACGGGTAGGGTGTTGAATGTATACATGAGATTCAGCGGGCATGAGATTCAGCGGGCATGAGATTTATGGTCCACAAATGATGTGTGTTGATTGATAAGGATCTGATGGGAATTCTACGCTGCCCTTGCCAGCCCCCTTGTTTCACCTCTCTTCACCGCACTCAACCCCTCAATTCACCAGCTGTACAACACACGACACCTCCTCACCGCACTCGTGGCACAGGCACGCCAGCTGCATGGTTTTGGCCCGACTCGCCGCATCTGCCACCATCTTCATTGCCGATGCATTCTCTGCTGCCCTGTCAACCCTCGTTTCACCTCGCTTCACCGCATTCAACCCCTCATTTCACCACCATCACCACATCTCACACCTGCTCACCGCACTTAACCCCTCTGCGTACCTCGTGGCACAGGCACGCCAGCTGCATTGTTTTGGCCTGGCTAGCCGCCTCTGCCACCATCTTCATCGCCGATGCATTCTCCGCTGCTCTCCTCTCCACCACATCTTGCATGAAGCACGTTGCTCCCACCGGCTCGCCTGTGGGGGAGCGCCTGGAAGCACGGGGATGGGGTGGGAGAGAGGGAGGGGGCTCACAGCATCAGCTCTCTGCTGCTCTCCTCTCCACCACGTCTTGCATGAAGCACATTGCTCCCACCCACCGGCTCACCAGTGGGGAGCGCCTGAGATGAAATGAAAGCAACAGGGATGGAGAGAGGCGGGAAGCAACGGGAACGGGTTGAGGAAAATATCGGGTTACGTGGTCAACCAGTTCTCCCCTGCCCCCTCTGCCACCATGTTCATCGCCGATACATTCTCCGCTGCTCTCCTCTCCACCACGTCTTGCATGAAACATGTCGCTCCCACCGGCTCACCAGTGGGGGGGGAGCGCCTGTTGTGAAAGCAAGAAAGACGAAGGGAGGGACAGAGGAGATTAGGGTTTAGGGTTTACGCGATCAGTTTTCTGCCGCAGCATCTGCCTGCCACCATCTGCCGGCCACCATCTGCCGGCCACCATCTGCCGGCCACCATCTGCCTGCCACCATCTGCATGGCCCGTGCGTTCTCCGCTGGCCTCCTCTTCACAACGGCCTGCATGCCCTCCTCTGCATGAAGCACGTCGCTCCAGCGACGCAGCACGCGCTCTGCTTTATCAAGCTGCACCACAGTACACCACAATCCACCACAATGCATCGCATTGCACTCTCCACCACAGCACACACAGCTCAACGTAGAACCGCGCTGGACCACCTTGCACCCACTGTACCCCGTCTCAACCCCTTTGCACTGCACTGCGCCTGCTGATGATGTGCAGGAGCGTGTTCATAGGCAGGCTGTGCACCGCATCGAACCGCATCGTACCGTACCATACGGCACCATAACGCACCGACCGTACCGCACCTGCTGATGATGTGCAGTGTCCATGGGATGGCCATGCACCGTATCGAACCACACCGCACCATACCGTACCGTGCCATACCGTACTGCACAGCACCACACTACCTGCTGATGATGTGCAGGAGCGTGTCCATGGGACGGCCGTCCCACGTCTTGAGCTGCAGCTCGTGGTTCCTCGTGTCCCTCCCATTGAGTGCCTGGCAGAGTGCTATCTCAAACATCACCAAGTTATCCTGGATTGGGGAAGGAAGGAGGAAGGAGGAAGGAGGGGAGGGAGGGGGGAGGCGGGATTCATGGGATGGCAACTGCAGCTCGTGGTTCCTCGTGTCCCGCCCGTTGAGTGCCTGGCAGAGGGCGATTTCAAGCATCACCAGATTGTCCTGCAAGGGGGAAGCAGGAAGCAAGGCGAGTGGGAGGTGATGTGAAGGAGAGTTGGCTGCAGCTCATGGTTCCTCGTATCCCGGCCATTGAGAGCTTGACAGAGGGCGATTTCAAGCATCACCAGATTGTCCTGCAAGGGGGAAGCAGGAAGCAAGGCGAGTGGGAGGTGATGTGAAGGAGAGTTGGCTGCAGCTCGTGGTTCCTCGTATCCCGGCCATTGAGAGCTTGACAGAGGGCGATTTCAAGCATCACCAGATTGTCCTGCAAGGGGGAAGCAGGAAGCAAGGCGAGTGGGAGGTGATGTGAAGGAGAGTTGGCTGCAGCTCCTGATTCACCAGAGTATCCTGCAGGAAAGGGGAGGATGGGTGGGTAGAGGAGTGATGTGGGGTGATGTTAGTTCATGTGAGGGGAAGGGTGGGTAGAGGAATGAGCTGTAGCTCGTGGTTCCTCGTGGTTTAGTGCCTGGCACAGGGCGATCTCAAACACCACCAGGTTATCCTGCGATCTCCCCCACAAGCCACCTCCCCCACAAGCCACCTCCCCCACAAGCCACCTCCCCCACAAGCCACCTCCCCCACAAACCACCAGCACCGGCTGGTCGGGAATCAGCAGCACGTTTTTGAGTCGACTCAAAAATGGAATCAGCAGCATGGGATGCTGCTAAGCACCTCCCCCACTAGCCGCCTACCCACAAGCCACCTCCCCCAGCGAGCCAGCCACAAGCAACAATCTTTACCTGGTTGGGAGGCAGCAGCATCGGATTGCTACTAAGCACCTCCCTCACAAGCCACCTCCCTCACAAGCCACCTCCCTCACAAGCCACCTCCCCCACAAACCGCAAACACCAGTCATTACCTGATCGGGAATGAGCAGCATCGGATTGCTACTAAGCACCTCCCTCACAAGCCACCTCCCCCACAAGCCACCTCCCTCACAAGCCACCTCCCTCACAAGCCACCTCCCTCACAAGCCACCTCCCCCACAAACCGCAAACAACAGTCATTACCTGATCGGGAATGAGCAGCATGGGATTGCTGCTAAGCACCTCCCCCACAAGCCGCCTGCCCACAACTTTTTCTCGGGGCAGCCCGCTGGTCTGCTCCATGGCAGCGTTCCACTCGGTCACCCGCCCGCACTCGTCCACGGTGAAAACCAACAGATCTGATTGGTCCACAGCTGCCCGAGCCTCTGCCTCGGGCATCTTGTACTGGAGATGGGGGGGCATAGGGGGAGGTGGGGGAAAGGAGGGAGAGAGGCGATATTTGAGGCGCTTATAAAATTGCCCCCTCAAAACACACACTGAGAAAATGCCGTGTCCCTCTGTGCATTCGTCTGTCCCTCTGTCCATCCCTCTGTCCATCTCTTTACCCCATTCCCCCCTCCTTCCTCTCATCCGCCCCCCTACTCACCTCCCCAGCCAGCACTTTGAGCGCGGTGATGTCTTGCCCCATCAGCCGCACGCTCATCAGGTTGCCATGCCGGTCGTGCTGCCCATACGCGCTCACCAGCACATGCACCAGCCGATCCAACTCCCCCACCGCCCCTCCCTCTCCTCCTCCACCCCTTCCTCCTCTCCCTCCTGCTCCTCCTGCTGCTGCCGAACCACCAACCCCACCAGCAGCAGCATCAGCAGCATCAGCAGCAGCAGCAGCAGCGGCGGCGGCGTCAGCAGATTCAGCCGACCTCGCCAGCAGAGCCACATCAAACGGCTGAACATCATCCCCTTCCGCCAGCACCTCAATAGCAGCCACGAAGTGCGCGTGAGACTCGGGAGCGAGCACGCTCGCAAAGAAGTTGCTCCCCAGCACCTCAACTTTGGACCGCCGCGTGATGTGGGCGGCCTTGCTGTTGAACTCGGTGACGGTGCCGTCGCTGCTGATGCCAATGATGGGCGTGTGGGCCGACTCCAGTTGATTCTCAAGTGTTCGAGCTACCTCTTTCAATTGAGATTGGATGGTTAAACGCTCCGCGTTCAACTGGGCCTGGTGGGGGGTGAGCAAAGGCAACAACAAAGGCAGAAGGCAAGGAGGGGAGGGAGGAGACATAAGGCAGGTGGAAGAGTCAAGAGGGTGATGTGGGCGGCCTTGCTGTTGAACTCGGTAACGGTGCCGTCGCTGCTGATGCCAATGATGGGCGTGTGGGCCGACTCCAGTTGATTCTCAAGTGTTCGAGCTACCTCTTTCAATTGAGATTGGATGGTTAAATGCTCCGCGTTCAACTGGGCCTGGTGGGGGGTGAGCAAAGGCAACAACAAAGGCAGAAGGCAAGGAGGGGAGGGAGGAGACATAAGGCAGGTGGAAGAGTCAAGAGGGTGATGTGGGCGGCCTTGCTGTTGAACTCAGTGACGGTGCCGTCGCTGCTGATGCCGATGATGGGCGTGTGGGCCGACTCCAGCTGGTTTTCTAGAGTCCTGGCAACTTCTTTAGCTGGGATTGGATGGTCAGGCGCTCTGCATTCAGCTGGGCCTGCTAGGTGGGAAGGCAGGGAAAAAACGATGGAGAGGAGGGGAGAGGGGGAGAGGGAGGGAGATACAAGGAAGGGTGGAAGACAAGAGTCAAGAGGGTGATGTGGGCGGCCTTGCTGTTGAACTCTGTGACGGTGCCGTCGCTGCTGACCCCGATGATGGGCGTGTGGGCGGACTCCAGCTGGTTTTCTAGAGTCCTGGCGACCTCTTTTAACTGGGACTGTATGGTTAGGCGCTCCGCATTCAGCTGAGCCTGGTGGGGTGTGGAGAGGAGAGGAAGGCAGAAGGAGAGGAGGGGAGAGGAGGGGAGAGCAGGGAAGAGGAGGGGAGAGGAGGGGAGAGGAGGGGAGAGGAGGGGAGAGGAGGGGAGAGGAGGGGAGAGGAGGGGAGAGGAGGGGAGAGGAGGGGAGAGGAGGGGAGAGGAGGGGAGAGGAGGGGAGAGGAGGGGAGAGGAGGGGAGAGGAGGGGAGAGGAGGGGAGAGGAGGGGAGAGGAGGGGAGAGGAGGGGAGAGGAGGGGAGAGGAGGGGAGAGGAGGGGAGAGGAGGGGAGAGGAGGGGAGAGGAGGGGAGAGGAGGGAGAGGAGGGGAGAGAGGGAGACAGAGGGCACAGGAAGGAAAAGAGAGGGTGATGTGGGCGGCCTTGCTGTTGAACTCGGTGACGGTGCCGTCGCTGCTGATGCTGATGATGGGCATGTGGGCTGATTCGAGCTGGGACTAAACAAGTGTTCAAAACTAACATGATCGCAAGATACTGAAACGAATGTCGACCAGTCACACGATCTCACCTGGATCTTCAGCTTCAGGTCTTGTGTTTCGGAGTGGGGCAGCGAGTCCTTCACAATGAGGCAACTTTGTACCTGTATTGATCAATCTACATTCCAATCAACGCAACAGTCAGCCAGTCACACACACTCTCACCTGGATCTTCAGCTTCAGGTCCTGAGGCTCGGGGTGGGGCAGCGAGTCCTTCACAATGAGGCAACTTTGTACCTGTATTGAACAATCTACATTCGAATCAACACAACAGTCAGCCAGACGCACACGATCTCACCTGGATTTTCAGCTTCAGGTCCTGAGGCTCGGGGTGGGGCAGCGAGTCCTTCACTATGAGGCGCAACCCTTGCATGGCGTCCACCTGGGGGAAGAAAGTGTAGAGGGGTTTGGGGGGGTTTAAAGGGGTGGAGAATATCAGTGGTGCGGGATATAAGGGTGGGGCAGCGAGTCCTTCACTATGAGGCGCAGCGCAGCCCTTGCATGGTGTCCACCTAGAGGAGGGAGAGGGGTGGAGAGGGGTTTGCGGGTTGGGAGAGGAGGTTCAAAGGGATGGAGAAGATCAGTGGTGGTATCAGTGGTGGGAAAGATAATCAGCAGTAGGATGAGCAAAGGAGTGGTGGAGATGAATGGTGATGCTGTTATTCTTTCCTTCTGTGACTGTGTGGTGCTGTGTACAGTTCTGTGCGGTTCTGACTGGTTGTGAGTGGCTGTATGCGGTTCTGTGCTCTCTGTTCAACACCACCTCCCCTCACCTCAGCGTCAGTCCAAGGCTGGCTCTGCAGCTTCACCACTTCCAGGTAAGCAGCAAACGAGTTGCGGGGATGCATGGTGGCGCCCTCGCCTCTCTTCCTATGCAGCTCTGTGCGATTCCATGCGGTTCTGTGCGGTTCTGTGTGCCCTCCAAACAATCCCATCTTCACTCACCTCAGCATCGGTCCACGGCTGGCTCTGCAGCTTCACCACTTCGAGATACGCCGCAAACGAGTTGCGGGGATGCATGGTGGCGCCCTCTCTCACTGTGTGGCTGTCCTTGTGGCCCGCCCATGTGATGTTGCGCTCGATGCCTGCCAAGACGGGGGGAGGTGGGGAGGTGGGGAGATGGGGAGATGGGAGGATGTGGAGATGGGAGGATGTGGAGATGGGAGGATGGGGAGATGGGAGGATGTGGAGATGGGAGAGGGAGGAGAAGGAATGACGGGGATGCAATGCATGGTGGCGCCCTCTCTCACTGTGTGGCTGTCCTTGTGCCCCGCCCACGTGATGTTGCTCTCCATGCCTGTCAGGCCAAGACAGATAGAGAGTGACAGAAGAAGAGGGAGAAGGAGTTACGTGGAAGCATGGAGGCACTCTCCCTCTCTCACTGTATGGCTGCGAGTCCTTGTGCCCCGCCCACATGATGTTGCTCTCCATGCCTGTCAGGCCAAGACAGATAGAGAGTGACAGAAGAAGAGGGAGAAGGAGTTACGTGGATGCATGGAGGCACTCTCCCTCTCTCACTGTGTGGCTGTCCTTGTGCCCCGCCCACGTGATGTTCCTCTCCATGCCTGTCAGGCCAAGACAGATAGAGAGTGACAGAAGAAGAGGGAGAAGGAGTTACGTGGATGCATGGAGGCACTCTCCCTCTCTCACTGTGTGGCTGCGAGTCCTTGTGCCCCGCCCATGTGATGTTCCTCTCCGTGCCTGCAGATAGGAAGAAAGGAGAAGATGAGAGAAGAGGGGTGAGTGGGGAGTTGGGAGAGGGAGGGAAAGGGCAGCCCAGCTTGCTCGAGGGAAGTCTAGTTTTGAGGCGCCTCAAAACTGGGCAGCCCAGCTTGCCTAAGGGAGTTAGTGACAAAAACGGTGTGTTGGCGCAGCAAGGCAAACCTTAAATCGTAAACCCTGAACCCTCACCTGACCAAAACCACAATAGGAAATCTCCCCGGGCTCGACACCATCGCAGCAGCCAATTCGCACACAGCCGGGGCGAGGCGCGAGGCAAAGAGCAGTCCCGCTTGTTCCAGGGAGTTGGTGACAAAGACGGTGTGGAGGAGGAGCAGGTGGGTGAACCCTAAACCCTGAACCTCATCCCTTACCTGAGCGGAACCACATAAGAAAATCTCCTCGGCTTGACACCATGGCAGCAGCCAGCCCGCACACGGATGGAGCGAGGCGGGAGGCAAAGGGGAGACCGGCTTGCTCGAGAGAGTTGGTGACAAAGACAGTGTGTTGGAGCAGGTGGGTGTCTTTGAGTCGCAGCCAGCGCGCTATCTCCTTCATATCATCCTCTGAAGGGCACGCCCCCACCCACCACGCCCTGCCCGCATGCAGCAGCACCGCCCCGTCCGATGGCACCTGGGGGGGGGAGGGAGGGAGGGAGGGGGGGCGTTGACTCGTGTTGACTTGTGTTGACTTGTTGTCACCATGCCCTGCCCGCATGCAGCAGCACCGCCCTGTCCGATGGCACCTGGGACGGGTGTTAGGGAGGGAGGGAGTGGGTAAGGGAGTGAGATACGGAGTGAGGGAGGCAGGGAGGGGACGGAATTGGCTTGTGTTGACTTGTGGTTACCACTACTGCCATCAGAAGCACAGTCCCGTCCCATGGCACATCGGGGAGCACGAGCACAGGCGGGCATGGAAGGGAGTGAGGGAGTGAGGAAGTGAGGGATTGAGGGAGTGAGGTAGGGAGCAAGTGACTGAGATGGAGAGAGCAAGAAGTAGAGACATCACCTAGTTGACGCTCACCAGGTCCTTGATATTTGAGCTCTGTCGTACCAACCCCAGCGGTACATCCCGAGAGAGCATGCTCTGCCGCCCCTACTACTTCATAGTCCCAACACCTCCCCCCCCCCCCCTCTCCCCCCGTTCCTCTTCCCCTCACCAGGTCCTTGATGTTGGGGCTCTGTCGCACCAGCCCCAGGGGCACATCTCTCGCCAGCATATCGCCTGCATCAGCATCTGCATCTGCATCGTGCGCTGCACCATTTTCTCACCATGAAAGACAAGCTTTCCTCCTCACCAGGTCCTTGATGTTGGGGCTCTGTCGCACCAGCCCCAGGGGCACATCTCTCGCCAGCATATCGCCTGCATCAGCATCTGCATCTGCATCGTGCGCTGCACCATTTTCTCACCATGAAAGACAAGCTTTCCTCCTCACCAGGTCCTTGATGTTGGGGCTCTGTCGCACCAGCCCCAGGGGCACATCCCTAGACAGCATGCCGCACAGAATCGCCTGCATCTGCATTGTGCGCCGCTCCGCCGCATGCTCTGCTGCCTCGAGCTCCATGGCGAGCTGCAGGGCGAAGGCCTGGTGGTGAAGAGATAGGGGTGGGGGGGAATGGGGAGGGGTGAGGAGGAATGAGAGACAGTCCGACAAGTGAGTCGCTCCGCCGCATGCTCTGCCGCCTCTAGCTCCATGGCCAGCTGCAGGGCGAAGGCCTGTTGAGATGGAGGGGATATATGGGGGGAGGTGAGGTGGATAGGGAGAGTTGAGTTGAAAGCGAACCGCTCTGCCGCATGCTCTGCCGCCTCTAGCTCCATGGCGAGCTGCAGGGCGAAGGCCTGGTGGGGGGGAGATGATATGGAGGAAAGATGGGAGGATGAGTGATGATTAGAGAAGTGAGCTGCTCTGCTGCACGCTCTGCTGCCTTGAGCTCCATTGCCAGCTGCAGGGCGAAGGCCTGGTGGGGAGAGGGACGTATGAGGGAGACGGGATGGATAGGGTACGGTTGAGTGAGTTCAAATGAGGTGCTCTGCTGCCCCCGGCTCCATGGCTAATGGCAGGGCGAAAGACTGGTGGGGGGAAGAGATGGATGGGGCAGATGAGGTCGATGTGGGGGATGTGACGGATAGGGGCGACATATTTTGAGACGTCTCAAAAGATGGATGGGGCAGATGAGGTCGATATGGGGGATGTGACGGATAGGGGCGACATACAGAATGGTGGCGTACCACCAGCCGGCGCCCCACTTTTTTTTTTTTTTTTTCCTCCTCTCCTGACTTTCCCCACAGCTTGGTTGCCCTGTGATCAGTAATCAATCAGACCCAAGTTGGTTGGTTTTTGAGAATTCTCAAAAACCAACTCGTACCACAGCTTGCTTGCCCTGTGATCAGTAATCAATCAGACCCCACCCCAACCCACCTGAACAAGCAAGGACGCAGCTGTAAGAGAAAGTCGCAGGCAGATCGCTGGGGATATGGTATGGCAGGAAGCGGGGCGACATGAGATGGCATACCACCAGCCAGCCAGCCAGCCCCCACCACAGCTTGCTGCTCCCTGATCCACCAGCCAAGTCATCGCCACAAGAGCCCCTTTTGAAGTGTCCTCTCATATTCTGCAGCCCTTCGAACCAGCCAGCCAAGCCAGTGACAGCCAGCCAAGTCAAGTCATCGCCACAAAAGCCCCTCTGAACAAACAAGCACAACCCCACCCAACCACCCACCCACGCATCCGCCCACCCACCCAGCCACCCACCCTCCCATCCTCACACCTACCCACCCACCTATTCACCCACCTGTAAGAGAAAGTCGCAGGCGAATCGCTGCAGGTAGGGCAGGAAGCGCGGTGACATGTGGTGGCATACCACCAGCCCCCACAGCTTGCTAGCCTTGTGATCCACGACCATAGCAGCTAACTCACTTCTTTCTTTTGCAAAGTAAGGCAAAGCGCATCTGAAGAAGCAAGGCCACACCTGTAAGGGAGAATCGCAGGCGAAGCGAATCGCTGCGGGCAGGGCAGGAAGCGCGGCGACATGTGGTGGCATACCACCAGCCCCCACAGCCTGCTGCTCCTTGATTTACCCGCCAATCCAAAGGCATAAGAGCCCACCTGAGTGAGTGCGGCCCCACCCAACCACAGCCTGCTGCTCCTTGATCAACCAGCGCCCACCTGTAAGAGAAAGTCGCAGGCGAACCGCTGCGGGTAGGGCAGGAAGCACGGCGACATGTGGTGGCATACCACCAGCCCCCACAGCATGCTGCTCCTTGATTTACCCGCCAATCCAAAGGCATAAGAGCCCACCTGAGTGAGTGCGGGCCCACCCAACCACAGCCTGCTGCTCCTTGATCAACCAGCGCCCACTCACCCACCCACCCACCCACCTGTAAGAGAAAGTCACAGGCGAACCGCTGCGGGTAGGGCAGGAAGCACGGCGACATGTGGTGGCATACCACCAGCCCCCACAGCTTGCGCACACTTGTGCTCTGCGGGCCCCGCGTGGTTACCACGATTGCCATCACCAGAGATGCCCCGATGCCGATGTTGGCGCAGTACTCCTTGTGACAGCTGGACACGCCTGGTGGGGGGAAAAAAAGGGCGTTGACTCGCGTTGACTTGCGTTGACTGGTGTTCTGAGGGCCCCGCATGGTTACCACGATTGCCATCACCAGCGACGCCCCGATGCCGATGTTGGCGCAGTACTCCTTGTGACAGCTAGACACGCCTGGTGGGGGTGAGGAACAGAGGGGCGAGTTGACTCGCGTTGACTTGAGTTGACCAGCACTATGAGGGCCCTCCTTCATGCCGATGTTGGCGCAGTACTCCTTGTGACAGCTGGACACGCCTGGTGGGGGGGAGGAGACGGAGGAGAGGTGGGTGTTGACTGTTAATGCAAGTCAACGAACGTCAATGCAAGTCAACGAACGTCAATGCAAGTCCGAAGCATGAAGGATATGCACGCCTGGTGCTATGCTATGGCATCGTCTTGACATCTCAACACTTGCATTGACTTGCATTGACTCACGTTGACTCATGTTGACTCACTCACCTTTCAGTGTGGATTTGGAAAGACTGATGTTCTTGCCGAGGGAGGGGTGCTGGATGGTGTGCACATCACATCGGGAGCACCTTTAG